TGTTAGTGCCAAATTAGCATAATACAAAATAAATACGAAAAAAATGGTATTTCTATATAACAATGAATTCATAGAAAAATAAATCACAGAAATAATTCCATTCACAGTACTTCAAAAAAATTTAAATAGCTAGATATTAACCTAACCAAGGAAGTGAAAGACCTCTATAATAAAAACTATAGTACTCTGAAAAAAAGAGGACATAAAGAAATGGAAAGATATCCCTTGTTCCTGGGTAGGCAGAACCAATATTATTAAAATGGTTGATGTATCAAAGTGATACATAGATTTAATGTAATTCCAGTCAAATTATTACATTCTTCACAGAATTAGAAAAAGTACTAAAATTTATGTGGAACCAGAAGAGACCCAGAATACTAAAGCAATCCTGAGCATCAAGAACAAAGAAGGAAGCATCACAATCCCAGATTTCAAGTTATATTACAAAGCTACCATGATAAAAGACAAAAACTACATAGTACTGGCACAAAAACAGACAAGTAGATCAATGGAACAGAACTGAGGATGCAGAAACAATCCCAGCATATTCAACCATCTAATCTTTGACAAGTAGGTAAAAAGTTAACACTGGAAAAAAGATAGCCTTTTCAACTAATGGTGCTGGGATAACTGGCTATCCACATGCAGAAGAATGATTCTAGACCTGTTATTTCTCATCCTATTCTAAAATCTAATCAAAATGGATAAAAGACTTAAATAATAAAACATAAACACTAATCCAATGAATGATAAAATAAGTAAAACTCTTGAACACATTAGCATAGACATGATCTCTCCAAACAGAACCACAATTGTACTAAAAACAATGCAAAGCATCAACAAATGGGATTATATCCAATTAAAAAGCTTCTGTGCAACAAAGTAAACAACTGACAGTGAGAAAAAAGTTTTGCCAGCTACTACTCAGATGATCAGTATTTAAAAAATATAAAGAACTCATAAAAAATTAGACCCTCCTAAACAAAAGGCTCAATCAAAAAATGGGCAGTTGAAATGAATAGAAGCTTTTCCAAAGAAGTACAGATGGTCAATGCGTACTTGAAAAAATGTTGAGCATCTTTGGCTATTAGAGAAATGCAAATCACAATCCTGAGATTCCATTTCACTCCAGAAAGAATGGCTATCGTCAAGAAATCATGAAACAATACTGATGAGGTTGTGAGGAAAAGCAAATTCTTTTACATTGTTAGTGGGAATGTAAACTAGTATAATCATTATGGAGATCAGTATGGAGATTCCTCAAAAAATAAAAACACAAATTCCTTTTGACCCTGCTATACCTCATCTAGGTATCTTCCTAAAGTATTAAAGACATACTACAGCAACACATGCATATTCATGTTTACAGCAGTACAACTCATAACTGCTAAATCCTGAAAGCAGCCTATAGGTTCATTAACAGACAAATGAATAAAGAAAATATGGTACAGTAGTATGCAGTGGAGTACTACTCTGTCATAAAGGATTAAAATTTGAGCCAATCATAGGAAAATAGATGTACCTTGAGACCAAATTCTAGGAGAAATCAGACAGAGGTATGGCTTCTCAATTATGAGAAACCTATAATATGTACAATTTAAAGAGCAAAATAAAAATGATACACATTAGGAAATAGGGAGGTAGACTTTGTCCCGGGGTCTGGGGATAAAGAGGAAGGAGAGGCAGGGAGGTGAAGTAAAAATGATTAAGATGTGCTATGTATGTGGACCAATTGTCCAAGATGAATGTAATTGTTAGGTATTGCAAGCATATTGATTAACCCCCACAAGACAAACAGCCTATGTTCAATTTAACTCATTTTCAAAAGGCCAAAAATGGGTTTAGTATAATTCTTATTAAAATGATTCTGCATGGAGGATTCCACCTGGCATTCCTCTCTATGGATTTATGCCTCAGAATCAGATTTATGTGCAAGATGTGATTCTGATGATGCCTCCTTTGGGTTCTGTTTCCACATGCTCTTTGGCTATAAACAGCTCATAATGGGAATTATGATTTTAACAATTACTGATACCCCCCTTTTTTTTTTAAATACACAAAGACTCTAAAAGAAAGTCAACTACTCTATTCGGTGTTCAAATGAATTATCAGTGATATGATCTCAGTGCAGGAATGAAAGCTGGCTGTGTGTGTGTGTGTGTTTATTTTTGAGACAACGTCTCACTATGTAGCCCAAGTTGGTCTTGAATTCACAGGGATCCTCTGGCCTTAGCTTCCTGAGTGCTGGAATTACAGATGTGTACTACCAGGCCCAGCTTGGTTGTATACTCTTACCAAGATAAAATAAAGGCCTCCAGTAAAGAGGATTAAATTAGAACCTTTCAAGGGAAATCTTGGCAAGGCAATGAATGTTATATTCAAACTGGATATGCCAAAGAATTTTTCAGGAAATGTAGAACTTCTAAAGGATTTTGTTTGTTTGTCCTAAAGATTTTTACAAAGTGGAATAAAAGCACTGTACTTGAGCTCTCAGCAGATTCCCAGCAATCCTATTCAGGAGGATACTCTAATCGGCCTTGATTAAGGTTGGTGAAATTATGAATAAGACTTGGGGTCATTCAAAGTTTCATTCATTAATTATTAATACATACATATTGAATATATATTATATTTAGAGACAAATTAACCTTGTTATCTACTAGAAACATGAAGACTAGTATAACAGTTTCTGTTCCCAATACTCTTAGTCTAAGTAGAAGGTAACAGACACATACAAATAAATATCCTTGCTAATTTTTCAGGTGCCAAGTAAGTCAGTACATGGCTCATTAGGAATACAAATGAGTGAGGTTATGAAAAAGTTTAAAGATTACTTAAGATTATAAAATAAAATAATATATAGTGCTCAGAACAATGCAAGTAAATATATGTTAATTATTTTTAGTAGTGATGGTATGTAGGTATAGGAAATAAATAAGCAAAATAAGTGCTTTCATGAAGAACTCACATGCTTTCCTCTATATAGAAGCAAGAAGAGGTTCTTGCTCCTTTCCCTAGCCTTGGCAAAGTTTTCTGTTTCAGAGACAACTGTCTCTAATCTTTTCCTTCACTTGTCTGTCAAAAGGAGTATAAACAGGAAGTCTAATATTTTAAAGAGAATATACTCTTAGCTGCAAAGACTTTGAAAGTGTAAGATGAGTCCTGTGATCAGTGCTTTCAGCTGCTGCTCAGAAAGATGGACTGAAATTATTCAAACGTCTTTTGACAAATAAATTGAAGCAATCACAAACACAGCCTCCTGAGTGTGTATATGTGTGTGTGTGTGTGTGTGTGTGTGTGTGTGTGTGTGCACATGAGCACGTGTGCAGGGAATGAATAATCACTGCTAATGATATGGAATTTTTTGCATATGTACAGCTCTTTTAACAAGAAAACTGAAGTAATCACAAGCACAGCTTTGTGTGTGTGTGTGTGTGTGTGTGTGTGTGTGTGTGTGTATGGTGGGGAGATGAATGAAAACTTACTGCTAATCAATATGGAATTCTTTGGGGGGATGATATGAATATTTTATATACAAAGATTCTAAAATGTTCTAATTTGTGATAATTGTTGTACAACTCTGAATATACTAAAATCTATTGAATTATACATTTCAAATATGTGAACTATGCTGGGCATGGTGGCACATGCCTGCAAGCTCAGCTGAGGCAAGAGGATCTCTGGGAATTCAAAGCCAGTCTGGGCTATGCAGTGAGCTCAAGCCCAGACTGGACTCCAAAGTAAGACCTCTGTGTCAAAAATAACAAGTGAATTACGTGATACACAATACAGTTCAACTGAACTGTTATTTTAAAATTCAAGTGATTAATAGAACAAAAACAAAACAAAACAGTCACATGCCTACTTGACTTTTTTGGAAGACCCAGTTCTATTTTTGGTTCTGAAAACAGTTCCACCTTTCTTTCAAATTATTCTTGAAACTCATGTATTTCAAAGAGGCTCATTGTTATTCTGACATGCCAGAATCTGTTCATCTATAGCCCACAGTTGTAGTGGAGATGAAACAAAGCTGGAAATGTCAACCTTGCTTTTCCTATGCCAATTTAGTCATCAACTTGAAAGCCCAGAGCCATCTAATTCTCAAGTTCAAACATTAGCAAAACCATACCAAGAAAGGTCTGTTAACTGATGTGTCTGAGATGAAGACAGAGGTGGTCTAGAGTACCCTCACTGGATCTGACTAGATTATATACCTGCTAGCCTCTTGGTTAGTCCCAGTTAGACGTAGAACTAAGATGGTAATTTCAACCTCACAAGCTTGCTTGGCTGGGGCTGGTTATTTCTGTAAGAATTAGGCTCTATCTACTGCATTCCCAGGTTTATGTAGGGCCCTCCCAAACTGGATAAATCATGTTCTAGCTTCCAGGTTGTTCCAATACCTGGAGATTTTTGCTGTTTTACCCTAGTTCAAATCTTGGGAACAAGTCTGTGTCTGGTCCTTTTCCTTGGGAAATTAGAGTCCTAACTGCCTTACTTGGGGTCCAGCCCAATTGTCCTACATTCAGAAAAGCACTGGTTCTTTTCTTTTCTTTTTTTTTTTTTTCAGATCCATTTTATTGCAGAGAGAAAAATAAAACCAAATAAAAAAATAAAATTTCAAAACACAACAATCAAGAACAACAATGGAACACACACTGAGCATTGCCATCCCCAAATCATCACTCTTAACACAAGACATTTGCATTCAATTGTCCCAACAGCAACAGCACAAATCTTTCTCTTCTTTTTTGTTGTTTTTTTTTTTTTTCCCCCCCCTTTGGTTTGTTTTGTGTTTTTCCCTTTTTCCTCTTAAATTAAAAAAAAAAAAAAAAAAAAAAAAAAAAGCACTGGTTCTTTTCATCTACATTTCCGGGATTCTAATGATAAGATTCTACAACTAAGTTATGACAAAAAGGTACCTGGTTTGGTACTGCATTGCTCAGTAAATGATAATAATTTTCTTTCCTTCAGAGCAATAAATTTACAACTTTTGTACTTACCTGGTGTACACAGTCTAAGAATTGTAAGAAGACTGGAGCAAAACCACTACCCTGAGAGTTGAAGGTCAAGCTACTCCGCTGACTGAATTTGTGACCAAAAGAGAGCCATTCTTTTTCAACCAACATTCGGAAGCCTTCAAGTGTCCTATAAAAGGGATCGCTGAGTAATTGAACTAAAGAGGTCACCTAAGGCAAAACAGGAGATACTTCATTAATTCCAGTCCTGAAAAGGTTCTGCTGCTTAGATAAAAACATTTCCTTATTTTTTATTTTTTGGTCCTTTTGAGACAGGGCTTACTATGTGGTTTGGGCTGGCCTTGAGTTCAGTTTGTAACCTAGGCTGGTCTCAAACTTGCCACAGTCCTCCTGCTTCAGCCTTCAGAGTGCTGCAATTACAGGCATGTACCACCAGGCCTGGCAAAAACATTTCCTTTATTTATTTATTTATTTATTTTTTGGTGCCGGAGATTGAACTCACGACCTTGGGTTTGCCAAGGAGGCACTTATGCTGCTGAGCTAAACCTCCAGCCCAAAAACATTTCTTTTAAATGATGGCTAATTTGCAAGTAAAGTTACCTGGACAGTAAATGTGTTCACTAACTATTCCAGGATGTCAATCAAATGGATTCGGCAAACTTTCCAGTAAAAACTAAAATTCATTTTGGCTACAAGTTTTTTCTTTCAGGGAGTTAGTATTTTCAGTCCTCAACTGGCTAGTTTGCTCACTGTGGCCTTTTCCTAGCTTGATTAATGAAGTCAGGGGATTAGTTCAAATGTAGTCTACTTTTTGGCAGGTGTAGATTAATGTGTTAATGCAGTTTGTATTCATATTATCCTTTTTCATTTTGAAGTGCATAAAGGAGGGATTTAGAGCCAGGAAAAGAGAGAAAACCCAGCAAGGACAGTCCATGTCCAACACTGCTGATAAAGAGCTCTATCTGCAAGCTTACATGGTACATCTGTATATGTGGGAACCTAATGCCCTGAGCCAGAGCTCCAGGCTTTGCAGGGGCTGACAGCTCAGGGAACAGAGTTTCATAGAACTTTCTCTATTCATAAACATACTACTCATTATACAAAAAATTTGTCCACAGAGCTAAAAAAAAAAAAAAAATAAAAGCAAACACAAATAAAAACCAAAATATCTGAAAATGCATGTAACAGTTTACTTGTGCAGTGATATCCCAGCCTTCTTCCAAACAGACCAAGACTGAGGAACCATTCTCAAGGACTTCTGCTACCACGACAGCCAGCTGCATTATCCTATGAAGCTAAGAGATGAATGAGACAGGAAGTCATGATTAGACAGAGGACAGGCAGCAATCCTGGATAATCAAACAAGTTAATGATGAAGCACTTGTAAATAGAATCACACAATGTTTTAAATACTTAAAGTTCTTGTCAAATCAAGATTAAACAATAACACATTTGAAAGGCAGATATATACATTTTAAAACAATGTTTTCAAATGACATATAATGAAATAAAAAATGATCTTACATGATTCTCCAAAGAAGTAGAGTTAAAATCCCATAAAATAGAAAAGAGGATTTTAAATGGCCTCCTCAATATAGTTACTGGATTTAAAATTTGTTTTTCCATGATGTAGTATATTCTATTTCAGATATTCTTACTAATTTTCTTAGAATTAGTATGACATTTGTATAACTTTGTGAATATGTAAAAATGCAATGCATTGTATACTTTAATTTTTTACAAGTTTTCTTGATAGGGTCTCACTATGTGATACAGACTGGCCTGGAACTTGTGATCCTTTCTCAGCCCCTGAAGCACTGGGATTGCAAGTATAAACTACTATTCCTGTTTGCACAGTATACTTTATTTATTTTTTCTTTTGTTTTTTACTTTTTCTTTATTTTCTTTATTTATTTTTGGTACCAGGGTTTGACCTCATGACCTCATGCTTGCCAGGCAGGCACTTAGGCCGCTGAGCCAAATCCTCAGCCCTACCTTGTTTTTTTGAGACAGGGTTTCACTGCAGTTCAGGCTGGCTTTGAACTCATTTTGTAGCCTAGGTTGGCCTCGAACTTGCAGTGATCCTCCTGCTTCAGCCTCCTGAGTGCTTGGATTATAGGTGGTACCATCATGCCTCACTACACTATCACCTTTAAAAGGGTATTTATATTTAATTTAAATTTAAAAGGATATTACATGAATTGTATGTCAAGAAGTGGTATTCCTATTTGTTACTGTGTATTTATATTTGTGTTCAGCTCTTAAGTCAGGCAGTTGGCTCAAAGTCTCTAGTGAGTGATTAATTAGGGTATAAACCCAGCACATGGACTTCAAAACCAAGTGTATGAGTCTAGTTTTTAAAAATATTTTGAGCATATAAATTTAACTCTGAACTAGAAAAAAATCACATTTAAATAGGTTATTTTAAGCACAGGAGCAAGATAGATATCCTATCTATCAGTGGAAGCTCCTCTCTAGCTGTTCCTTTAAAACTGTTATTCCTGGACCTGAATTCTTTTAGGCTTAGCATTTGCTACATTTTGGTAACTTTTAATGTTATCCCAAGTAGGATATTCTCCATTGTCTCCAACTGCTGGGTACAGATTCACTTGTCCAGCAAGCAAAGAGGAGAGGTCAGAATATATCAGAAACACAGAGAGACAATAGTTGAGTGATAGGGACAGTATATGCTTGGGGCTCATACTCTAGGGATAGAGGTAAGTACTGGTCAGTTCATTCTACGGATACTCAGAGTATTCTAAACTGCCTTAGGAGTAAAGCACATATTCTGGTAATGTAGTTATAACCAATTCCATATGTAGCTGTGTTTCTTCATAGTTTAAGAATCTTGAGAACAGTCACTGTCCTGGGTATGACATTGTTTCTTGGTACCTATGCCTTTTAGTCCTATATTCTATGGTGAAACATCCCTTTTTTCTCCTTAACAGAGGCTGGGTACATGGAAGAGGTAGATGAATGCAATGGACTAAAAATCTGGAAATTCTTGGGGTTAGAAGGAATAATGAACACAGCATCAGGGACCAAAAGGCAAAGCTGAAGGTTATATTACACAGATGCTGTTGGCCAAAAGTCTGCATCAGTGTCTAAAGTATGCATATCATAAATAACTTTCTTTCTGTGGTTTGGAAGAAATGTGTACCGGCATACCTATTTCCTCTTAATTTTTCAATAGAAGCGCAATTAAAAATATCCTAAGGTTGACCATACAGTTTTCTCCAAACCTTACATAGGTTTGAGGTATCCAATGTGCTTTTTGGTGTGTGTGGTGGTGGTGGTGGTGGTGGGGGCGTGAAGCTAAAATCTAGAGACATGGAACAGGCAAAGATAAACGGAAGGTGAGAAACAGACACACAAAGGCTCTTAGAGTCATACAAAAATTGTATTCCTTTTATCCTAGATCCTTATTGTTTTGACAACAGAGCTGGAGCTCTATAAACACATGCTGATTAAATTTATTGTACATAAAAATTTTCACACAAAATAATTTTCTCATTAGCATCTAACAGACACCAAACTTTCAATTATATAGAGATAAAAACCCAGTCATCAAGAATTCTACCTTATCACCTCTTTCACTGTATCACTTTCTAAAACTGAAAGACCTTTACAGATGGCATACACAACAATGGGGGAGAATGTAAAATGCAGGGGAATAACTTTTTTCTCAAATACTGCGCTGATTCTGTATTTCTGCTAGGCCTCTTTTCAAAGTTATAGGATAAACTTCTTGAGACATTACCTGTGGGAACCACTCAGAGTCCCCGAGGGCCTTCAGGAAGGTCACTTCTGAGTCAGTAGGGATGGTGCTTGGGATACAAGCCCTCATCAGCTTTTTAAAACTGGCTTTCACTTGTCGGATTTCATGAAATTCAACAGGAACAAACTCACAATTTAAAGCAAATTCTATCTTGAAACTCTGAGGACAAAGATGCAGAAAATTAGGCATATGAAGTACGTTGGTGAAAAAGCAAAGTTTTCAACAGGGCAATGGTTAATGGTATATACAGTTAATGAGACCAAATAGTTGGACGGGCTGCAATGGGTCAATATAGTCAATCTTATACGGCTCATGTGTCAGCAGGCTGTAAGGTCTAGTGGTGTGCCTTTCTTTTCTAGAGGCATGTTACTAATCTGAGGAATGCTGTCATTCTAAGAACCTAAGGAGACTACCAGTAGGCTAGAATTTGGTGCAGCTTATACTGCCACACTTCATAAAATTAGCCTTTACAATATGCACATTGTGGTTAAATGGTAATATATTATTGGAGTTCCACAACTATATGGATTATATTTTGTAGACATACATACTACATACATTTGTTGATTAGGCAGGTAAAACGTGTTCATTGTAAATAGAAAAATGTAGAGATGAACATTGAGAAAAGTAAAAATTACCATCTCACTACCCAAACTACTAAATGTTTTGGTTACTTTTTAAAAATCAGTAATAAAAATTGCATACAGGGCTGAGGATTTAGCTCAGCGGCACAAGCACCTGCCTGCCAAGTGCGAGGTTGTGAATTCAAGCCCTGGCACCAAAAAAATAAAAATAAAAAAAGTTAAAAAAAAGGGAAAATTAGAAAGCTGTTGTAACTGTAATTGAAGAATGTTACACTGGTCCAGTCGTATTTCATTTTGATAATCTAGTTGCCTAGTTCTGAAGAAGATTCAAAACTCCTCTAACTTCTCATGTCAAAGAATGAATTAATTTTCTCAGTTTCTTTTCACTTTCTTCATATTCTTGAGTTAATCTGCTGGATCAGCTGCTTTTCAAAGATAAAACTGCTTTCTGCAGATTAGTTTTACAACAGTGTGAATGTACTTAATAATACTAAATTGTTACATAACATGATTATGATTGTAAATTTTTAATATGTATTTTACCACAAAGAAAACAAAAAACTCATACATTATTTTTTTAAAAAACAACATTTCTTATATGTATCAGGGAAAAAAATTTTTTTGTCTTAAGACATTTGTCTTTATGACATTTATAAGAAGATATTCTAAAGAAATAATCTAAAATACAGGGAAAGAATCCTAGTGAATTATACCTTAAATACCTCCTCAAACCTTACATACTTGGAACTGTGATTGCAATTTTCCGTACAGAAATAAAGAAATCTAAGCACCCAATACTATTGGACAGTAAATAGTGACATATAATTATGACGACTACTATATAACATAGAATTATGATGTTAGGGCTTGTTAGGGTTATAAAGAATCTAACAGTATACATAAATTCCTTTGTTTATTTTTTGCAATTTATAACAGACAAAAAAAAATCTGTTTTCAGGAAACAAAGATTCCTTTCTATGTTTTAACTATTCATGAGCTAGTTGGACCTATCTTATAAGCCAAGAGTTATTAAACATACTGTTAAGAAACAGTTGGTTGTAAGAATTTTGTTACTATTAATTATTATGAGTTTAAAAAGGAAAGGAGGCCAAATTTAAGATTCTTTAGACAAGTCACTGACACTTAGTGGCTTTCCTTTATGCCTCTGATGTTGGGACACAAATATATGGACTTGCAGCTGGACTGCACAATGTTAGCTAGAATATGGCACATATCAGACAGATAAGAAGCTATACTCTATAGACACATTTGAATTAAGGAAGGGTCCCAAGTGATCTTTCTTATTCAAATATGCACAATCATGTAGCTAACCTGAGGACTGATGGTTGAAAGGAACAGCAGAGGTAAGCATTCTAGGCTCAAATCTCAGAGAATGACTCAGAGCATGTGCAGGCAAACTTGCACTGCTCTTGAAAAAAGCTCTAGCTATTTTCTGGACATAAAATGGTCTGTTGTATCAGAAGACACGTGTGCAGTGGTTTAATGCCCTCTCCCCTAATAGTTGTTGATTCAATAATTGCAACAGCTCAGACATCAGGACAGGGCTGCAATACCAGTGTGCACAGAAGAGATGACTCAGTCATTGGCATGTGAGATCCTGCTGAGAGTACCTTGCCGAGAGTCTCTCCTGTACAGTTCAGCCAGAGGTCTATCTAGATTCCTAGTGGTAAATGTTGAGGGGATTTCTGAATTGAGAAATATTTTCATTTCATACATGTTTGTCAGTAGTAATACAGTTTATTTTCTAATGTGTAACTTGGAAAATAAACTCAGGGCACTACTGCTGCTTTTGGAGATTCACTTTTACAATTTATGAGAATTTAGTATGTTGAAGCTTTTTAGTATAGTAATAGTAAGAATAAAGTTGATTAGAATATAACATTTTGATTTTCTGAAATTCTCACGATACATGTCTCTCTACAGATATAGCCTTGAAAAGTTGGAAAAATGTTAGTTAGAAAACTTTCAGCCTTTCTTGGCTTCCACATGTGGTGCCACAGTCTTCCTATCTTTCCCTTCCTACTTCGCTGTAGCTTTCTGTATTCACCAGCTTACAACCACAAAATCATGTTTTACCATGGGCACAGATACCTGTGGAAACTGAATCAAGATGGTGGGAAACACAGCCTGAATAAACTTTATTTCTTTTTTTTTGTACTTAATACTCCTGCTGTTTATGTAGATTTTTAAGATTATGAATAAATATTTATTTTCCAGGCTGGTAAGTATGCCCCTATGTCTATATATAGATACATTATAAAGAATGCTAACATTGTTTTTTAAGATTATTAACTTCAGGTTAAGAATCACACTATAAAAAATTTCTGAGAAAACTGCCTTAGTATAGCCTTAAGGTTTCTAAGCGGGAGAAAAACATCTTACCCTTAGTTGGGACTTTTCACCAAATACATAAAGGACTGCTTGGCGCTTCAAGAGCTGGTTTTGTAGGTAGGTGCTATTACCAAAGGAGGCTGAGTGGTCCTTGCCTGCAAGCCGGGCGCCAACATCAATGAAAGATGTTGGAGAGCTGATTAAGCGAGTGCTGGAGCGAAGACTTGCCCATACACCTTCACAAAAGTCAAAAGAATTGAGTGAGACACTGATGTAGGAATGCCATGAATAAAGAAAAAAAATGCATGCTATGGAGCTACAGTTTTAGAGGTAATAATGAGTTAATTAACTCAAGTGATCATGGATCACAACTGTCATTGCCATCTACTTGTTTAATATAAGCATTATTTAACACAGCATTTCAAAATCAATCTTTGAATCAGAAAGACCTAGGAAGTCAATAATATCCCATTTTTAAATGTTCAGTATTTATAAGTATATATTAAAATCATAAATGAAAGGATGGCACTGACACACAAAAAAAATGCAGGCAGGAAGCAGTAATAAAGCCAGGAAATTAGAACACTGAGTAATTCAATTTCTCAGCACTTCAAGAAATAAATAAGGAACATTTTTCTGCCTTCTTAGTTAATCTATTTAAAGATAGAAAGTAGAAACTTACTAAATGTAAAACTAAAAACCGGAGTTAGAACTTAAAATATATCATGCCAATAGTATAACTTTAAGTAAAGGTTACGCATAACTTTTCCTAGTAACCATGAAAAATAACAAGAAACTATAAATTTAGTAATATGTATTTCACTGAATCTTAGGAGTCTTTATTTAAAAGGTAGTCAGAAGCAGATGTTTTCTAAGAAAAAAAGCCACCTAAATAGCTAGAAGAATCTTGTGATGTAAGTTGATCTTATTTATACTAGAAAAATCAAGCATTTCTATATGCAACTGAAATCATTAAATATTAAACAACCAACCCACAGGCATAGATAATTTGACTCAAATTTGACTAGCCCTTTAGCACCTTCAAGACAACAAATTCTCTCAGAAATGCCTGTGGACTATGGAGTTCATACCAGTGGCAAGGTTACAGGGTGGAGGGCTTCCCTAAAGCAGGTTTTCTTCTCCAGGTATAAAAAAGCTGTTTGAGAAGTTTAATCATTGCCTAATGAAATCAAGATATGTTTCTAGGTGATGAAGTCTCTATGGTAGTATCAAATCTGCTTCTTTATCAGCATTTATGGGGGTAGGGGGCCAACTTAAGAAAAGGCTTCATTTTCTGTCTAAAATAAGTGTACTTTTATATATAAACCATATGCTTTTCTTAGATATTATGACAAGTTATTTATTTGTAAATGGAAGCACAGGAAATTCAGAATATGGATAAGGATAAAGGATATAATTTGACAAACGTAAAAAAGTCACTTGTAACATACTTTCAAATGAAGATGATTTAAAGGAGTGACACATTAGGACACTTAATACGGTACCTTGATTATGGACTCTTCCCTTAGCTGAAGATTGGGATTTGACTGAGTAAAACATTTATCTCTGTACCCATGCACTGGTAGGTAAGATTAAAGACAGAGGAGAAATGAAATGTATACAGCAGCAAACATCAGAGCAGGTTGAGTAAGAGAAGAATAGGCTATTTAATTTTTCAGATTAAGTTAATACAGAGAGAAAATGTAAATATAATTAAACTAGGAGATTTAATTAACAAACAGAAAGCTGGACAGTCACAAAAAGATGAACCGAGTGCCTGTGAAATGACATTTCAGCACCTGTTTATTCACACTGTAAGCACAATGAAACGAACAGCACAGCAGAGGGTGCCATTAAAAAATTATACCAAATGGAACAAGCTTTTGAAGGTTGTCATTCAGTCAGAAATAAGCTTATATAATAAAATTAAGGGATTTGAGGTGTGTGTGTGTAGATGTTAGGAATACACTAGCCCTAGTATTGAAGACTGACTGGCAAATGCTACATGTTGTACAACACATTTGTTCTCTGAGCAAGATCATCAAGAAAGCGCTAGCAACCATTTGGAATAACTAAGGGCATACTTTTGCAGCAGAGCATTAAGTATTGCCACACAATCTTTCTTCTCTTCTTATTTACAAATTGTATTTATTTTCTCTAAATAAATATAAGCCATACAAATTCATGATCCTGTGACAATGTTTAATAATACTAATAAGATAGCCAGCTTGTGATGACTGAAGTAATGACTTCTCTTAAAATCCCTACTTGTACCAAAATGGTAAGTGGAATTAGAGATAATGCTTTTGTAATTTGAGTAACATTTTTTCAATTAGAAAGAAATTGTTTATGACTATGGCAAATTTTACCTAGTAATAACAAAAATGCTAAGTAGCCACATCATTTCTGAGCGAAAGAATTATTCAAGTAAATTAAGGGAAATGAGTTCATTTAGCATCACATGTATTTCTTTCTTTTACTTATTTATTTATTTTTTTGCATTATTGGGGACTGAAACAAGAGGGTCTCACATATGCCAGGCAAGTGTTTTACCATTAAACAACAATCCCATCCCAGTAACTAAATGTAATAGCAATATTATTAAACTGTGCATTGCAAAATTGCATAAAGCGTGACATACTGAGATAAAAGAAAAGTCATTAGAAGTGATTTTCACTCCTACTTCCCTCCTTTGGAAGCAGGAAATTAAGAGTATTCATGGCTTTAATGATCAAAGAAAGTAATAAAAAGCATTGCACAGAAGCTGCCTAATGGCATACAGAGAATGCCACTGTAAAACAAGTTTCTGGGACTACATGGTAAAGGCATAAGGCCTTCTGTGTGCTGAGTGACTGCTTTCCTACTGGTATGTGGGATACTCAGATAATTAGAGTAAAGCTCCAGAGTCTAAGAAACTTCCCTGGACACATCACACTTTGTTAGTCTCTGCCTGGAATAATTTCTCTCATTTTTTTTTTTTAACCAGGGAAACTCCTTATCCCTTAAGATTCATATGCCAGTTAATCTTGATTGTCATGTTAGCTTGACTGGTTAACCTATTGATAAATTCATAGATATTAAGAGGTGGGGTCTAGTTGAAGGAGGGGAATCATGGGAACATGAGCACACCTGGTTCTTGGCTCCTTTCTTTGGTGCTCTTTCCTTACTCTCTACTTCCAGGGTGCTATGCTCAAGCAGCTTTTCTTTTTTTTTTTTTTTTGTCTCTTTCCTTTTTCCTTTTTATCGGTACTGGGGATCGAACTCACGACTGCCTGCTTGCAAGGCAGGCGCTTATGCCGCTGAGTTAAACCTCCAGCCCCCCAAGCAGCTTTTCTTTAACACCCTATCAGGTCACTCCTTCTCTGGAGCCAGCTTATCATGGACTGAAACCCTTGAAGTTATGCAGCAGAAGAAACCTCTCCTCTTCTAATTTATGGGTATCAGATATTTTGTCCCAGTAATCTAAAAACTTACCAGTGCAATCAACGTGAATGTTAACTTTCTGAATTTCTAACTGTCCAGAGTAGAGTGAGGAGAAAATAGGGAGCTCTATTTGAACTCTGATCACATTGCATTGTGATTATGTGCACACTCAGTCTACAGAACTGTGGGCTCATAAACATAAAAAAAGATCTAGTTATTATTATTATTATTATTATTTTAGAGCTAGTCAATCTTGTATCCATCTTGAGAATCAAACACATAGGCACTCAAAACATATATTGATTATTTTCTTTTTGGAAATGAATACATTGTGAGCTGTTATAAGTCTTTGTCAATGCAATTATTTATACTGTAAGAGTGAAAAGAGATATTAAAAACATTAAGTATGTCCTCAAATACAGAGTCGTTAATGAAAAACTGTCAAGTCTTACTGCTGGATAGAAAAGCAGTAATAAAAATGGTCTGTAGAGATATGGGGCCAGTAGGGACCTTTGAGAACCTGAATCCCATCTGGAGGTCATTTGACCAAAGGAATTTTACTACTGCATTGGTGGTAGTAAGGGCAACTGGATTTCCTGAGTGATTCTTAGATATCCTAAGCATTTAACACTAGCAAAAGACTAGAATACTCTTTTTTTAAACTGAAGGATTTCCCTAGAAGTGTGTGAAGTCATTTTAGCAGGTCAAATCAGAGTTTTTTTAAAAAAAGTCAGATAGATTACTATTGAAAACATCATGTGTACTACATGAGGTATAGAAGAATATTGTTTCAAGAAAACTTTTAGTATATATGCATTTTATACTGTGGCTTAGTAATACAGTGAGTACGTTTGTACACATACAAATATAAAATGTATTTATTATTGTGAGTTAGATAAATGATGTGGTTCACTCCTCCATGGGAACACTTATTGTTCAGATTATAAGTGTTTCCTAAGCACTAGTGTTTTTTCCCTCTACTTTGTTTAGATCAAATAAAGGAGTGAAAGAAATGGGATACTTAGGTTGGATGTGAGGATGGGGTATCTTATTATCAGTGTGACATTACGCTTAACCTGTTGTTGAGATCCAAGATGTATTCAGTACACGATGCAGTAAATGGTACAATACTGAACTAACTTCAGGTGCAGGTATGGGGCTAGTTTCTATGTGACATCAACAAAGTCACTTAATTTCTCTTTCTTAATATACCTATCTTGGAGGTAACTTCAAGAATAAAATAATACATGTAGAGGAACTTGGAGGTCATGAAAATATAAAAGATGGAAAATTAAAAAGCTGCCTCTGTGTGACAGCTACTTCATTGTATTTTTGATATTTAAGAGGCAGTATCGGTTTTCTCCTCACTCTACTCAACAATGTAATTTCTTCAAGTTATAAGTGTATGTATGTGTTTTCTCCACAGGGCTAAAAAGCTATTTTAATTTTAAATGAAAGGAAAACTGAACTCAGGGGTCCTTTTCATTGAGCTACAATGCCCGCTTATCTATCTATCTATCTATCTATCTATCTAGACAAGAAATCATTAAATTGCCCAGGCTAGGTTTGAAAAGGTCTTGTGTAAGGCAGAAGTTACCTCCTCTCACGTCAACTCAGCAATGTGCATGATGAATGCAGAGTTGAAGAGTGAAGCTCATTAGCATGGCCAACTCTGGCTCATCAGAGCAGAAGAGGTGCATGGTGAAAACATATAAAAAGAAAAACAAAAATCAAGGTTGTATGATAGGAAGGCAAGGTTGTATAATGAAAGGAATTAAAAAATATTTAAAATAGAAGAGATACAGAAGAATGTTAAGGGAAAAGACTCTTGCTATAAAGAATAAATTAGAAATTTCTGGAGAAGTGGTACCCAGTTCTTTGGAAGAATGAAGAGACCTATATTTGAACATGGGTACAAGTAAAAGAACTGCTTGTGTGGCCTGGAAAGTGTCTGTACCTAGTCTTGCCACGGCTGATCTGCTAGGTAAGCCCTCTACCACTAAGCTACCTCCCCAGCGACGAGAGTTCTGAACAAGAGAAATACCAGAAGAGAAATCACTATATCATCTTTCAGTTCAAATTCACTGGGCAACCCACTTGGGATCCCTTCTGTCTCTCTTAGAAGGAAGTTTTCTTTTCCCCCCAAATATATTCTGCTCTTATTCTCTGTTGTTCTTAGCATTCATTCTTTGATTTTAGAGAACACAAACTCCTATCTGACATCTAGCAGGTTGGGAGTTACACTTCCCTTATATTATTAGGAGGTTCTATATCATCCCGATATTACTATCTTATATAATTAGTTACTGTTACTACTGATCAAAAAGAATGAAATGATAGAATGAGGTTTATGTCTTAAACTTACAAAACAGTAGCACTATAAAAAATTCAAGAAAGGAGTATATATGAATTATGTCCCCCAAAACTCGTGTATTGAAGTACTAATCTATATTAACTCAGAATATAACCTTATCTGGAAGCAGGATTGTTACAAATGTAATTTGGTTAAGGCTATATTGGAGTAGAGTGAAGTCCTATCACTGAAGACTGGGGTCCTTCTAAAAAGGAAAAATTTGAAGATATATGCAGAGGGAAAGCCCTGTGGAGATGAAGACAGAAATTCCAGTGATGCTTTCTTTTTTTTTTTTTTTTTTTGGTCTTTTTCATTTTTATTGGTATTGGGGATCGAACTCACGACCGCCTGCTTGCAAGGCAGGTACTTATGCCGCTGAGCTAAATCCCAGCCCCAAGTGATGCTTTCTTAAGCCAAAGAATGTCAAAGGCTTGTTTGCTAGTCAGCCTACAGAAGCTAACAGAGAATCATGGAACAGATTCTCACATTTCTCAGGAGAGAAAACTTCTAACAGCTTGATCTAGGACCTCTAATCTTCAGAATTATGAGACTACTATTTAAGACACCCAATTTGTGGCACTCTACCATGGAAGCCCTTAGAAATTAATATGATCACAAGACCTAACAGATTAAATGGCATGATGACTCAAAAAAAATTGAAATCTCTTTAGTTTCTACAACTGCAAAAATTTCTAATGACACCAAGAAAAAAAAAAAAAAAGTAATATGACTACCAGGACCTTTGTACATAGTTTCTAAAAAGGAAAAAAAGTAAATTTTGTGAAATAGAGCTTTTATGTTGTTTCTGAGACAAATTCTAGTATGGATTATCTATATTTATGATTTATGATTACTTAGGAAAAGGTATTGATTCAAATTTTGTCAAAATAGTCATAAAGTCTATTGTGATACAGGTAACAATCTGCAAATTTGACAATCTTGGATTAAAAAGATTAGCATGGATTTAGAAATATGGGCCAGTTGAGTTTCAGTAGTGGAAGTAGTTATTTAGACTCAAAACTGTTTTTGGAGAGGTTTATATTATTTTGTTATTAGGCCTCTGTGTTCAATTCAGGTTATTCAGTATTTTAAAGCAACACAGCACATGAAGACAATGATCAAATCTATGGATGACCCAGGGGCTTGCAAAAACAGTTAATACACTGGTCAACAGAATTGGGAACCAAAAAATCTGGAACAGTCCACATCTAAAGAACATTCTAAAAGATGAAATTTTATAGGTAGAGAACACAGTAGTCAAATACTTAGGTCCAGTAACAACCCACGAGGCCAGTATATTAAGAACAACAGCACACTAAAGAAGAGATGGGGATTTCAGATGATATTAATCTCAGCCTGGGCTAACTCTGTGATGGGCCTATAACTAACGTAATATTAGGCTGGACGAATAACTAGAATTATATATTCAATTCTGTGGACAGTCCTGAGTGATGTGGATGGCAAATGGACTACATCATCTGAATTGAAGACAGAGTTAACTAAAGTTTTTAGAGATAAAATGTGAGATTAGCTGTAACAAAAATTGCACTTACTTTCTAACGTCAGAGGACAGAGCTAGAGTTAATATGTAAAAGTTATATAGTGGTAGATGGGAAAGAATTGACTAACAAATAGAGTTGCTTGTATATGCAAAGGATTACTGTAAGGAAGAAAAGAGTTTTCCATTGCCGAGCAGCACCAAGTTCAAGGGAATTTAAAAGTATAAGGATGAGAGAGAGAGGAAGAGTGCAGTGATGCCACTGTGAAGCAAGAATCTGGAATTTCTTCTGCAGAGAGAATCTCAGATAAACTTCAAGTTAACCTTTTGAAGCAAAAAATAGCCACTTGTTAGTCTTCCTGTATATCAAGAGAAATCTGAATGTCATTCTATCTTACCTTCCAAACTAGTGTTTCAGAAAACAGGAGTAAAAACAAAGGCTTTGGAAGCATAGCTTTGGGTATGTACTTTTCCTTAGTTGTTAATACTTCTATGATTGGATGCTGTGGTCTGGATCTTAAATACCCCTCCCCTCAAGGCTGAGCCAAGTATTGAAAACTTGGTCCCTAGGTTGTGTTGCTATTGGGAAGTAGTGGAAACTTAGGGAGGTAGGGCCAGTGGAAGGAAGAGAGTGGTCATGGAAGGATGTGCCCTTGAAGGGGACACTGGGATCCTGGCCCCTTTCACTTTTTGTTTGCTTCCTGGCTGCCATGGGTACCACATACTTCCCACCCACATGATGTTCTGCCTCATCACAGGCCTAAAGGCAATAAGGCCAAGTGACCAAGGACTAAAACTTCTTAAACCACGAGCTAGTAAATCTTTTCTCTTTACATAAGTTATTCCCCTCAGGTATTTTGTCATAGTAACATAAAGCTAACACAATTATTTCCATCCTGTGAACCTGGAAAATCACGGTGTGCTCTCAGGGCTGATACACCATTTAGACATGTTCCCTTCATACCTTAGTGCTCCCAAACGCATCAATATGTAAGATAGCAATAATTTATCTATTGTCCCATCCAGCTAAACTCTTCTGTCACTATGCCAATAAGTTTGATAATTCATTTAGTGAAGGGTAATTAAGAACAATGTAAATCATAATTGGTTGATTTAAAAATATTCACTACCTGGAAAAACGTTTTTTTTTTTTTTTTTTTTTTTTGCTTTTAAGCTTGTTATCAGTGCTTATTTATAAAATCAATCTTACTAACCTCCTCGAGCAAAGCTATTGGATGGGTTTACATCCAAATGTCCTGGCACTACCTGCTTAAGCACAGTGGACATTCTTGAAGTCCTCCTTTCAGTCCCTAAAGTCAGCCAAAAAGAAGAACAAAAACCATGTCGTTTGGGTTAACATTACTCAAATGACAAAAAGTTATCTTCATGTGTAGCATGTCTAATTGCTGCCAAACATTGTGCTTTTTAAGTACCCAAAGCTTTATTAGAGATAACAAGGCAATGTTATTATTTCATCAGAGATAACACACATTTGCAAGATTACAGAGTTAGGTTTGGCAAGTACAATCAGAGAATTTAATGATAAATGAAGCAAGGCATGCATGGTGTTACATTACAAGAAAAGCCACTCTTTGCTTATGTTGAACTACTCAAATAGCTGATAGAGCCAAAGAGACCAACTTGTCAAGTCACATGCTCCTGTGTCTAACACATTAGGGTTACCTCTACATGAACCCTTTGGGGTTCCATCACATGATGACTGAAATAGAATATTAGTACAAGTCTTAATGGCTTCATCCAAATCTAGAGAAAACAAACTGTGCTGCAAAATTATAAAAGGCTACAGAAAAGGCTATTTTGAGAATTTCACAATTGTACAAGATGATTTTAACAAATATACATTTAATATAAACAGATGTTCAACTTATACATACAACTTCATAATATATTAAAATTCATGTAAGACAGCTTTTGGGGTAAAATGGGGTGACTTTATGTTCCCTATTGCCTCTCCTATTACTGTTTTGAAAAGGAAATAATTACATTTCTAAATATTGACCAGACATTGATAATGGTGCTTTGATTTCTAGGTAAGGTAAGACTATTAAAGAATCTTGTTAAAGGGATATACAAACAACTAAGGAGACCAATCCAGGGTTGGGAAGGGCCTTTTGGAAGAGCTGTCAAAAGGAAAGTGTTATTGAGTCTTACCTGGAGACAGAGCAAGTGCTGGCCTGACAGTAAGGGTGTTGTTGCTTCTGAGTTTTTGATGGACAGAAACTGCGTTCAGTAAGGCTTGCAAGTACTTTTCTTGTTCTATGCTACTGGAGGATTCTAAAGAGGAGGTAGGAGCTACAAAGGAAGAGACACTGAATAAAAGAACCTGCCTTTTTACCAAAACAAGCTTCGACATATACAGTTCTTTATACTTTCTCTATTCAGTCTCATGTTAGCACACCCAAACAGAGAAGCCAGCCCCTATTTAAAGCCCCAATCAATGAAGTGAATAATCCTAAAATGTTGGTTTTACCACATCTACCTATTGACTGCTTTCATCATTCTCTGAGAAGATCCCTGGTCTAGAAAACCAGCCCTGGTCACCTTTAAACCACATGGCTTCTCATTATAGAAGAGACTCAACAAGAAGATTCACAGTATCTCTTTGATGATCTCCCCCAACATCCTACCCATGTTACCAGGAGCAGAGGACAGTAGATTTTCCTGGCATCCCAGAATGGGTGGAGGTGGGACTTTCTCAATACCAGAAGCTTTCTTCTACTGTGTCACATTTGGCCTAATAGGAAACATGAGCTTATCGAGATTTATTGAGGGAAGAGTAGAGGAAAAGTGGAGGAAGAAAGGGAAAAGGTAGAAAATTATGAGGCTAGGGATTTAGCTCAGTAGCATAAGCATCAACCTGGCAAGTGCAAGGTCATGAGTTTGATTCCCGGTACTAGGAAAACAAAATAAAACAAAAACCAAAATTACTGCTAAGATTCTCTAATACTCCTTTGTTTTTCTTTCTTTCTTTTTTTGAGACAGGGTCTCGCTATGTAGGTCAGTTTGGTCTCGAGCTCCCTTTTAGCCCAAGATGGTCTCAAACTTGCAACAATTCTCCTGCCTCAGCCCCTCCCAAATGCTGGGTTTACAGGTGTGTACCACCACACCAGGGTTCCCTTGTACTCCTAAAACAGGGGCAAAAAATAAGCACAGAATGGAAACAATTCTGACAGCAAATCGAAGTTGGTAGGAATCTGAACATGCCTGTGTGTAGCAAAAGAGAAGCAAGGAAATTGGCTTGGATACTTTAGAGGCACATGGGTAGACTCACATCTCTTATAACATGGGACAGAATCTCTACTTCCTCTGAGGCTATTTAACATATCAATGTTTCTTAGGGAAAATATTAGTACAATCTAATTTTCACTTGATTTGCTGGAGATATAGCTAAATACTTCATTATACTAATATCTATGAAAGCTGAAGTGTAGACCAGATGTATTAAGTAAAATGTCAAACTCAAGGTAGACCTCCACACTATGAAATGTAATTCTTGTTTAAACAAGGTGTATGTTGAAAAGGCTTGATGAAAGGGCACAACTGGCATTTCCAGAGTTTACATTTTATTTTCTAGGAAGACTTTTTTTTAAAAAATTGAGAAAGGGTCTGAATGTGCAGTTCATGTTGGCCATGAACTCACTTACATAGTCCAGGCTGACCTCAAACTCACAGCAATCTTGCTTTGGCCTTCTGAGAACTGGCATGACAGGCGTGCACCATCCTGCCTCACTTTCTGGCATTTTTGAGACAGGATCTCAGTATGTAGAGGAGGTTGGCCTTCATTTCGCTATGTTGCTCAGGCTGGCCTCAAACTCAACAGCAATCCCTCTGATTTTAGCCTGAGTATTAGGATTACAGGTGTGAGCCACCACACCCAGCTCAAGGTTATATTTTTATACAGTGGAATACTACTCAGCCATAAGGAAGGCTTTTTAAAAGACAAGGTCTCACTATGTTGAACAGGTTATGCCCAAATTCCTGGGCTAAAGCAATATTCTAGCCTTAGTCTCCAAAGTAGCTAAGACTATGGGTGTGTGTCACCATACCCAGCATATTTATGGGAATAGTCTAAAGTGAAAAGAGTCATAATTGTGCTACAAAGATGCTTACCTGCCTGAGGGGAGTTCTGAGATTTGAAAAGACCAACAACGCCCTTCCCATGGAATCCTCCAGATCGAAGGAGCAAAGTACCACTTCTTGAGTTCTTCCAACATACAACAGGCAAGCGATTGTGTCGATAGCAGCGGGCTACTCTTGGTAAACTACTGTCCTGTACAGCTTGAGGTATGACTAAAAGGCCAGGATAGCTTCAGAGACATGAAGGAAGAAAGGGAACGATTGGGGGAAAAGGGAAAGAAAGGAGGAAAGAAGTAGGAAGAGAAGGAAAAGGAGAAGGAGAAGGAGAGGAAACGGGAAGACAGCAGAGGAGAGAAAAAAGCAGGAAAAAAAGAGAGGCGGGAAAGAGGGAGAGAGAATATAAGGATATGAATTGCACAACATCACAGAAATTTTCTAAGACTCAGAAGCACATTGGTTGAGGGGTAAGGAATATATTTTAAATATGGAACTTTATTGCAACTCCTTAGATCCTCAGGAGAAAAGGTGGAAATAGTTAACCCATCAACCATTGTGCAGTGTTTTTTGAGTCACTTTAAGTGAGATGGTTAATTTTTGCTAATTTAAAATGATCAAAGGTTAATTAACCAAATATTTGGTTATTTATTTTGCTAAATAACCAAGCTTAGAAAATAAACATATTACATTTAATTATTTAAAAGGCTTCTGTGGAACTGTTTATCTTGTCTTAATGCATTATTTTTCTTTGACTTAAAGATTGTAAGATTACTGGATTAGTGTCAACTTTATGAAAATGGTGAGTCAAATTGTCAACAACTCATAGAGTACTAAAACAACAGAGAACAAAGCACATCCATGTTAGACTGTGGGAGATGGTGAAAGGGTTAAAAGTCAAAACCAAATGACTTTTTGCTTAAGAACAAAATGTTAAAATGTCAAAATGAATTTATATTTTATTAATATTTTATATTTATAAATATTTATATTTATATTTTATTAATACCATATATTGATGTTTATCTTCAAAAGATTAATCCTAAAGTTATGGGATATAATGCTGGGAAAATAAAAAAATGTAAGAGTAGCTTGTTTTATAGATTACTAAGTAAAAGAAAATAAGTCAGAATTCAGTCATTTCTTTATTTAGAAATGTTACACTAAAGGAAATCTGTAAGTTCCCAACTACTAACCAGCATCATTTTCTGGCAATTTTTTCTTACTGTGGTAAAGTATACTTACTATAAAATTTACCATGTATTCATTTTTAAAATGAACACTTAAGTGGCATTAACTATATTCATAATGTTGAACAATCATCATCACTATCCATTTCCAGAAATTCTAATCTCTTATTTTTACATAAAGCAGTGCTGAAAGGAGGGAAAGGGTACAGATATAATTATTCATGAAGTCTGGAAATACAGTTCCATTTAGGATCCTTTATTTCTAATGCCATACTACTATTTCTTTTTCCCCAACTTTTCTAGACACAGTGATATTATGTGTAGGCAAGGCTGTGAGGTGAAACGGCTCCGGCTGCTGCTTCAGTATCGAGGAAAGAACCCCTATCCTCTTTCACTGCCAGCCTCCTGACAGGGGCTGTCTCCTTTCACTGACTCGAGTACCATAGGTGCACTATGCTACACAGAATCTTAGGCTTTCCTGCTCCTACACACGGGCTTAGTATCAGCTGGATAGCCCTGGGTGCTGGGGCAAGTAGTGTTGAGCCTGAGGACCAACAGAGGCTGCTCTCAGTACAGAATCACTGACTCATGAGAGACACCAACTACCCTGCCACCACCCTATCCCATTGCCTGCACAGCCTTAAGCTCCAGGCTCCATAGTAAGCCTCAAGAGGTTGACCAGTCCTTAGAAGCAGCTGTGGAAACTTGTATCGAAGAGTAACTCACATGAAAATGTTCAAAACATAACCTGCATCAGGAAAAGATCCATTACTAGCATCCAAGAAGATTCTCTTGTGTGTCCCCCCAATTACTACTTTCTCTCTTTAGAGATTACCACTCCTGGTTGATAACAATACAGATACATTTTCCCTATTTTTGAATTCTAGATAAAAGAAACCAACAAAATTTATTCTTTTTTGTCAGGCTTCTTTTGCTCTATATATTTTTAAGATCTATCCGTGTTACTGTGCATGGCTGTAGTTGGTTCATTTTAAAGAAGTATATTGTGTCACTATGTGATTAAATTACCATTTATTTATCCTTCTGTGATAAATAATAATTCTGAATAGTTTCTAGCTTTTGCTTATTAAGAGTACTATTACAGGGGAGAGGGATGTAGCTCAGTGGCACAATGCCTGCCTGGAAGCACAAGGTTCTTTGTTTGATTCTTGGTACAAAAAAATTACTATTGAAGGTTGAGGTGGGGGCTGGGGATTTAGCTCAGCGGCATAAGCACCTGCCTTGCAAGTGTGTGGTCATGAGTTTGATCCCTGGTACTGATAAAAAAAAAACCAAATAAAGGTTGGGAGTGCAGCTCCATTGCAGAACATATGCTTAGCATGTGAGATCCTGGGTTCAAGCCCCAGAACTACCAAAGACAACCAGTAATAATAGTAACAATAATGTTGCTCTGAACATTAAGATGTCTTTTGTGACCAATGTGTGTATCTGTTTGAAATTCTTTCCCATTTAAAGAGTAGGATTTTTAGGTAGCAAGTTATAAATATACTCAGGAGATGTTTAAATGCTTAGTAGACACTTCCAGACAACTTTTTGAAGGTGTTAACCAAATTTGTATTCCCATTAGCAATTAATGACAGTCTATTTGCCAAACATTCTCACCAGCACTTTGTATTGTCAGCTTAATTTTTGGCCACTTGGGCAGGTATACAGTGGTTTCACTGGGATTTTAATTTCTGTTCATTTGAAGACCAACAAGTAAAGCTGAACATGTTTTTTTTTTTTTTTTTTTTTTAACTTTTTATCGGTACCAGGGATCGAACTCACGACCGCCTGCTTGCAAGGCAGGTGCTTATGCCGCTGAGCTAAATCCCCAGCCCCAAGCTGAACATGTTTTCAGAAGTTCCAGTTATTAGAATTTTGAGTATTCTAATCTAAGAATATGAAACAGCTATTATTTAGACATTTAATGATCTTCAATATTGTTTTGAGTGTTCATATAGAGGTCTTGCATGTCTTTCATTAGATTTATTCTTTTGTTTTTAATGTTTCTTACACATTAAATTTTGTAAATAGTATCACAGAAAGTAAACAGCATCATTTTTAAAAATTTGATTTTGTAATAGTTTGGTTTTGGAATATATGTAACTATATCAGTGACTGACAGAATTTACTTAAGATTTTCTAAATGTACATTCAGGTCATCTGTGAATACTGACATTTTATTTTTCCCTTTTCAATCTTAATCCTTTTTACTTTTCCAGCCCCACCCCTTTTGCAGTACTTGGAGCAAATACAGGACCTTGTGCATGCTAGGGAAGTGTTCTAACACTGACCTACATTCCTAGCCCTTTATTTAATTTTGAGACAGAGTCTGGTTAAATTGTCTGGCCTAGTCTTGAACTTGTAATCCTACCTCAGCTCTGGAGTAGCTGGGATTACAGACATGTGTCATCATGCCTGGCTTTTCTTTTAGTTCTTTTGTGTTGTCTAAGACTTCAAATCCATCACTGAATATAAGTGGTGATAAGAGGCATTCTTGTATTGTTCTGCTCTTAGAGAAAAATCTTTCATTAATATGAACATTAAGTAATTTTTTTTTTGGTATTTTTCTTTTTTATCGGTACCGGGAATCGAACTCACGACTATCTGCTTGCAAGGCAGGAGCTTATGCCGCTGAGCTAAATCCCCAGCCCCCACATTAAGTAATTTTAATGCAAGACTTGTAAGATACATTCTACATTAGGAGCTATCCCTTTACTCCTAATTTTGGTATGAGTCCTTTTTTAAAAAAATCATAAATGTATATTACATTTTATAAAACTATATTTTATAAAAGTAGGATATATAAAAACATTAATATATGTTTCTTTTTAATTACTAATGTGGTGCTTACACTGATTTCTTTCCCCTCTCTCCATTCTTCTCTTTTTCTTTCCTTTCCTTCTTTCTTGTGGATCAAACCAGGACTTTGGGCATGCCAGGCAAGCACTCTACTACTTAGAACACATCCTCATGTTATCTTTCAAATGTCAAGAGCATTATGTATTTTTCTAACAAATTCTACTTGGTATTGAGTTTCTGAGTATGAAATGAATCTGTTGTCATACTTCTGTATGCTAGTAATTCTTTTTATTTTAAAATCTACTTTGACATTTATATTGGTGAAAACAGCTTTTTCTTTATGCTTTTAGTTTTGCATGGTGTATTTTTTATCCTTTTTTATTTTTTTGTATTTTTTTTCTTTTTTCTTTTTTATCGGTACCGGGGATCGAACTCACGACTGCCTGCTTGCAAGGCAGGTGTTTCTGCCGCTGAGCTAAATCCCAGCCCCATTTTTTTGTATTTTTATATATTAGATATGTCTCTTGAAAGTAGTGTAAAGCTTAAAACATACACATCCTGATAATCTTTTTTTAAAATTAGGATATTTAGTTAGTGTATAAGTAATATAATTACTGATACATTTGAATTTAAATCCATTTTACTATTTATAATCTAGTTGTTTTTTGTGTTCTGTGGCCCTCTTTCCTTCTTCTGAATTTATTATTTTACCTCCTTCCAATAATTTGACGGATATATATTATTTTACATCAACATAAACACATTATAACAAGTGTTAAAAATCATTTACTAGGGGCTGGGGATTTAGCTCAGTGGCATAAGCGCCTGCCTTGCAAGCAGGCAGTTGTGAGTTCGATCCCTGGTACTGATAAAAACGAAAAAAGACAAAAAAAATCATTTACTAATATTTTACTTTATTTACAACTGACTAAAAAATGAGGTTGGTTTTCTTATTGACAGTATAATTTGATAACTAGCTTTCCAACCTACAGGACTTCACCCCCTAATAATATCACTTATACTTATCCACAAAGAAAATCTAGTGAGAACAGAAAATTCCTGAAAAATTACTGCATTTTAGAGGATTGATTTTTCAGTACTTCATGGAAAATGTTTACTTATCCACAGTCTCAAACTATATTTCCAACTTATTTCTCTTTGTAAACTTAAATTGTCACTGAAAATGACATATCTATAGTTCTTCAGGAGCAACAGGTTGGAAACTAATAGTAACATTAAGACAACTGTTTAAAATATGAATAAAATTTACAACTTATAAAGCATTTTTGGAGCTAATTAATTAAAGCAAGAATTTATAAGTGTAAAATGTAAAATTTATAAATGTAAAGAAAACAACTTATCTGAAAATGAAAATGATCAAACCTATGGACTGTGGAATGTAGCTTTAGAAAATCTATATTTACATATAATAAATACTAAAATAGAGCTTACTCTATTTGGAAAACAGCAAGAGGTGACAAGGAGAGAAAAAACAAAATGTGTTCATTTCTTTTCTTTTTTTTTTTTTGTTTTTTTTGTTTTTATTGGTACCAGGGATCGAACTCACGACTTGCCTGCTTGCAAGGCAGGCGCTTATGCTGCTGAGCTAAATCCCCAGCCCCCCATTTATTTTCTTTAAATAATATTCTGAGTAAATATTCCAATTAGGCAGCATAAGAAACCTTGCCTATACTTGGGACAGTAAATTATAGCCTACATGCCGAAGTTCCCCTATTCCTTTCCTTTCCTAAGGCTACTTTTGTGGCAGAGATAAGTAGATGCAATAAAGAGACTCTACAGCTCACAAATTGGACATATTTATTACATGGTCCTATACAGAAAAGCTTGTGGATCCCTGGCTGACAGCAGATCTTCATCTCTCCCATCTGCCTGAGCAAATCCTATTCTTTAAATTAAACATCATGCATACTAGAAAAGAAGCAACCTGGGAAGAAAAAGACAAAGGAAATTCTTTAAGGAGACAAGCACTTTTGCATTTTACCGTCTGACCTAATACAGACAATTTTCAGTGATACAGCTGGTATCTTCAGAATGCCAATGAGATAGTTGGTTATGCCACATAAAAAGTATCTCTTAAATACATATACTCCTGGAGATCTTATTCCTCTTTTTTGGAATTTGTATTTCTCCCTGGGCTAAAGATTATAAACAGCCTGTTAAAAACTTAAATGGAGGGGCTGGGGATTTAGCTCAGCGGCATAAGTGCCTGCCTTGCAAGCATGTGGTCGTGAGTTTGATCCCCAGTACCAATAAAAAACTTAAATGGAAGAAACTGTCCCTTTTTGCAGCCCACTGACACTTACCTCCGGCACAGAGAATACATCCTGTTGGAAGCAGTGATTCGGAAACATTCTGGTTTCGAACGGGATGAGGTGCCACTTATGGTTCCCAAACCTAATCGCTGATAGTCTCTGAAACAAGCTTTTTCCACCAACTGTTCCATTGTAGACTTCTCTGAGGCCTTCAGTGTACTTGTGGGGAGTTCACTATCATCTGAAACTGTAATGATGGAGAGAGCTGTACAGAAGTGGTTAGCTCAAAATAAAGGGTTAAATTTTCTTTTGAACAGAATGTTTATCTTAGGGTATTACATGATATCACAAGTATTACATGTACTACAAACTAAGTGGAAACTTCTATAAAGAATCATAAAACAGCAGTCGACAGTCAGGACATGAGTATCAGTAACTCAATATAAAATGCCAAGAAACAATACCACTTAAGTAATTTATTAGTATAATTTTGAATGTATTACCTGAATTTTTGATAATTTCGTGTACCAATCAGGCTTCTTCATTAATGCCATAATTCAGTGATTTCAATATAAGATTCTTATAAAAGCATTTCAAACACTCAGAGGCTAACTTGTCAAGAAAATTTTCTTTCTCTCTTTCTTTCTCTTTTCTCTTCCTTCCTTCCTTCCTTCCTTCTTTCCTTCCTTCCTTCCTTGTGGGCACACAGGCCTTGGATTTTCATTTTTTGTACTAGAAACTGAACTCAGGACCTTGCACGTGCCAGGCAGGTATTTATGCCACTGAGCTATATCCCTGGCCTGCTGGGTAAGAGCCTTTGCCCTGAGCTGTATCTCCAGTCCTTTTTAAATCTTGAGATTTGCTAAGTGGTGAGGCTGGGCCCAAACTTGTGATCTTGCTGCCTCAGTTTTTCAGTGCTGAGATTACATGTGTATACCACCATGCTCAGTTAAAATTTGTTTGTTTGTTTGTTTGTTTAGAGATGAGGCCTCATTATGTAGTTCATGCTGGCCTTAAACTATGTAGCCCAGGCTGGCTTTGGACTCATGGCAATTCTCCTGCTTCAGTCTCCCAAGTGCTGGGATTACAGGTGTGCACCACCACCCTTAACTAAAGTTTATCTTTCACATAATCACTACAGAAGTTCATTATCTAGCTTTTAGCTTACATTCAGAGCATACATTTTTATAAGAAAATTTTTAGATTAACTAGAAGCTCAATGAGGAAAAAGACTCTTAAAAAAAGACTGATATGAAAGTTACACATTTTTTTTTAGAAATATGTTTGTTGGAGGATGTGGTATATATGGAAAAACTTCCTCATAGTTTTGGAATTACAGGTTATTGATTTCTTTAGATTTTGGATGTGGACGACTTTACTCAATAATCAAGAATTTAGTGGGGTGTGGTGGTGCACACCTGTAATCTCAGCACTAAAGAGGCAGGAGGATCATCACAAGTTCAAAACCAGTCTTGGCTATGAAGTGGTTTCAAGGCCAACTTGAACTGTATAGCAAGACCCTGTCTCCAAAAGATCAATAAAACAAAACAAAACAATCTCATGTGAAAAACTGTCCTAGTTTACTTTTTAATTTATTTTAATGTGACAGAAGTCAAGTCTAACTTTTAAGCCTTTGGAAATGTACTCAAAGAACTAATATACAAGGTAAAGATAGGACTCTCTTCCATTAAAATTAAAAACAACAACAACAACAACAAACCAACACACAACAGCTATCCCTACAAATGTCTTTGTATTTTAATCTGTGGGCTTCACAAAGTAACATAATTTGTAGGCGTAGTTTTATGCCATCTTTTATTTGTAAAGTACAAAGAACAGTATATAATTTAGTCTCTCATAGTTTTTTTTTTTTTCTTTTTTTGAGATTGGGTCTTGCTGGGTTCCCCAGGCTAGCTTTGAATTGAGAAGTTGGAAAGATCCTTGTGCTTTAGCTTCCTAAGTGGCATGGGTGTACATGTCACTGTGCCCAGCTACAGAGAATGCTTTTATTTCCTAACATCATAAAACTTCAAATTAGCAGAGTCAGTAAAATAGGAAGTAGTAATTTTATGGAGCTTTATTTGTGACTGTGAGGAGGTCAGGTTTTCAACAAATGGTCACTTCAGAAATGGCATGGTGGGTCTTTTCATTGCCCACAGAATTCAGTCTGTACTCAACTCAGTATGTACTTAACTCAGTATGTATTTCTTATTGCACAGGGCATGCTACATACACACAAAACCACATTGGTTCTTTACACTGGTGCACCAAAACGGAGACCTTTAGCCAGTGCCCTCACTGAAGATGAGGTTTCTTTTTTTTTTTGTCTTTTTCCTTTTTATCGGTACCAGGGAGTGAACTCACAACTGCCTGCTTGCAAGGCAGGTGCTTACGCCGCTGAGCTAAATCTCCAGCCCCCCTTTTTTTTTTTTGGGATGAGGTTTCTTTTAAAATGGTGTTGTGGCTGTCATAGCTAGTAGTTGTATAACCACTAGTGACTAAATCTAGGACCTAGATAAAGTAAAGGGTATAATAGCTTTCTATCTCACATTATATCACATTCTTTGTAGTGTTAATTTCATAACGTAACTAAATAATGGGCTAAAGCATAGAAAAAGAAATTTAATAAGGCATTTTGCTAACTTGTTTTTTTGTCTTATTTTCCTGAGAAGTATTTTCAGCTGCCTAAATTCTATTGTTTTAAATATTTATGTCTTTTTCTTAGCATTTAAGAATTCTTTCCCCTTAGGTTCCCTATTTTGTTTATGAGGACCCTTAGTGCTCTTACCAGAAACCCCAAACTTCATCTTTGAATAGTCAGTGTCCTTAGTCCTTACTCCTTTACTTTTTTTTTGTCTTTTTCCTTTCTATCAGTACCAGGGATGAAACTCACGACTGCCTGCTTGCAAGGCAGGCGCTTATGCCACTGAGCTAAATCCCCAGCCCCTCCTTTACTTTTATACTGTTATAGTAAGGTACAAGGGTATAAATTTCTCGTGGAGTTTCCTTCTTTCTCTTTTTAATAAGACCTACCTAGAAAAGTTCTTCAAATAGTGTTGTTCTGCTTATTTTTTAAAAGTTTTGAATATTTCATAGCAACGACAAAAACCAGGATTGTTTGGAGTTCAGCATTCCTCATTAGTCACTCACTGAAATTTGTAGTAAGATAAATAAGGACAATGGGAAGCAGAGATCAAAAAAAAAAAAAACCCACATACAATGGTCAATGTGAGTTTAACAGACTTTTATCTACTTAACAGAGTAGTAGAAAAATAACATTTTCCCAGTCCTAAGAAGCTGTAAACACTTACAAACTTTTTTGAGAGACTGGCTTTCGTACATCAATATTCAAGTACAGCTAGGGGTAGAAGCACATGCCTGTAATCCCAACATTAGGGAGACTGAGGTAGGAGGATTGCTGTGAGTTTGAAGCCAGTCTGGACTATATAGCAAGGCCCTACCTTAACAAAATCAAACAGCTCCCTAAAAAGCTGAAGACAACAATAACAAAGGGTTTAAGTACAACTATGTCTTCTTTTCTTACTCTTAGAAGAATAAAATTGAATCATGAAAAGTGAATTCTCACATACCAGATATGTCATCATCTTCATTCCATCCAGGACGATTTACTCTCTCTTCCATAATTGTTCCTGTCCTCCTCTTCAACAAATATTGTCGCCCAATTGTCATTTTCCCTGCTCTTTTGGCACCTTTCACGATTGTTTTCGAGAAGGTGCTGCAAGTCATAAAACCAAAGGTATATCACTTTAACATGAAAGTATCACTGATAACTATCTATATAGCTCTACTTTTTGTTTCCATTCCCACAAGTCACAAGTACAGTATTTACCAGTGATGGTAAACCTTTAAGAGCTTACAATGACACAAACAGCCTGCAGTGGAACACTTGCCATAGTTTTGCCACCACTGGTATACATCATAGTACTGTATATACTTTCCTTAAGCCTCTCCTTTGTTAGATCACTTTTTGTGGCAGTACATTAATTTCCTATAACTCTCCATATCATCAGAACACTGTTTTAAACTCTCCTCCCCTCCCCTCTCCTCTCCTGTCCTGTCCTCTCCTCTCTCCCCTCCCCTCCCCCTTTCTTTTTTTTTTGTACCAGGGATTGAACTCATGACCTCACGCTTGCCAGGCAGGCTTATGCCACTGAGCTAAATCTCCTGCTTGACTTATTTATTTTTCTTTTTTAAAAATTTTACTTAAAGAAAGACTAAACAAAACAGAAAATGGGTAGAAATAATCCATACTTTCAAAGAAAGAATAAACAGTAAAAAAATCACTAGTTGATATTTACATATTGTCCTCTTACAAATAGTTATTCAAGAAACAAAAGTGGAGCACACAAACTGGGGATTCAAACAGTGAGACTGCAACCAGTTCTGTTCAACAAAAACTTAGTAATATGATTATCAATCCTATACACTTATACATGCAGCTATCCATATCTTCATTTATGTTGAGATTGAAAAAACCCAAGCAGGCTAAAATCACTCTGAGCAAAGAATAATAGTATTGCTGGGTTCCAAATTATGACACTCCTGGATCAGCACTTGGTACTGTAGTGTCTTTTTTTCTTCAAAGTATTTGTTCATTTCATCATGTGTCATAAGATCAGTTCTCATAAACTGTTTATAGGTTCTACGCATGCATGAGTCTTAACATGTATTTCCATCCTTTCAGTGAGTCTTGTCATCTTCAGCGTAATTGCCTAAACTCTCAGACTTGATACTATCAATTGTATCAGTTTTGAATAAAATCTATTGATACCAAACAGCAATGAAACAAACCTGATTTAACTAAGATCAGTCATGATAAACCAGTATAAGTCATACAGGGATCCAAATTAAGTTAATAGGAAATTAGAGATGATTACTGTGCTATATCCTGGTGTTTTTGGGATACCTGTCTGTGCCCTCAAATCTAATGCAAGTAGATAAACTGGGACAGAATAAAAACTATCTAAGCAGAGTGGTATGAATAAATGGGTTTTAATTCTTGATACACTATTATAACAATATCTTCTGCCATCTTTTTAAAGACCATTCCTCCCCTTTCACTTCAGGATGCATTGTGTATTTCTGAGTCTCACCTAGACCCTTGGTTGTAAATTGCGGGGGACAACCTGCTATTTACCTAAATGGTTCCAAACCTTCTTCCTCCTGGACTTGATCTCTAATTATATTCCTTTACCTATTAAAGCCTGTCTTTCCAACCTATCCACAAATACTGGTCTAGTTGCTCTCTGGCTCCCTGTCCCATAGGACATTGTTTTCCCACATTTGATTTTCAGTCCATATACCTTTTTTCAGGTTATATTTTCTATAAAGAGCATCTCAGTGGACCCTATCTCCTAATCTATTCTTTTTTTTTTTAAATTTACTGATTCTGTCTTTTTTTAAATTTAGTATATCAAGGCCATCTATGTTAGAGATTATAACCAACCCTCTCTGCCTCATTTCTGTTATGCTCTTTGCATTAGTTGTCTGCTTGTCTTCTTCATTCTACTTTTTGTTCCATTCATTGAGGCTTCTCTGCCACTGTTCCTGGAATCTTGGTACTTTTCTCTCTCTCTAGAGTGCCCTGCAGTATTCTCTGTAGAGTTGGATTGGTTGTCACGAATTTCCCCAGTTCCTCTTTGTCTTGGAAGGATCTTGTTTCTCCATTAATTTCTAGAGACAGTTTATCAGGGTACATCAATCTGGGCTGGAGGTTATTTTCTTTCAGGGCTTGGAACATTTTGTTCCAACCTCTTCTTGACTTGATGGTCTGTGTTGAGAAGTCTGCTGCAATTCTGATGGGCCTTCTTTTATAGGTGATCTGTTTCTTATCTCTAACAGCTTTTAATATTCTGTCTTATATTGAATTTCTGGGATCTTATTATATGCCTGGGTGTGGCTCTGTTTTGGTTGTAGGTGGCTGGAGTTCTGTATGCTTCATATATCAGTATATCATTTCCTTTTCCTATGTTTGGGAAGTTTTCCTTAATTATTTCTGTAAATAGCCTTTGTAGTTCCTTTGTTTGTACCCCTGCTTCTTCATTCACATTCTTTATTCTCAAGTTATAGATCCTCTTGTCATCTTCTAGCCTTTGTATTGTTACTGCTTGTTTCCTTGTTATTTTAAAAAGTTTCCCTTTCATAATCCCACATTGCAAAACTGTCCTCCAGTTTGGATAATCTATCCCTAGTTTCTTTTTTCTTTCTTTCTTTTTTTTTTTTTTTTTTTGTCTTTTTGAGACAGGGTCTTGCTGTGCAGTTCAGGCTGTTCTTGGGCTCACTTTGTAGCCTAGGCTGGTCTCGAACTTGCAATGATCCTCCTGCCTCAGCCTCCTGAGTGCTAGGATAACAGGCATGAGCCACCACACCCGGCTATCCTTAGTTTCTTTCAAGCAGTTTTTCCAGCTTTCAATGGAGTTTTTAATTTCCTGGTAATCTCTTTGAATCTGCTTCATGTATTCTATATTTTCTTTATATTCTTCATCAAATGGTTCTCTCCTTTGTTTGTGTTCCATTCTTCCATCTGTGTCTTCTTGAGAGGTGTTTAGCATTTTTTTTTATTAATCTACTTATATCTTGTTTTATTTGGTTAAATATTTCACTTTTGAACTTGTCTATGAGGTCCCAAAGATATTTCTTTATGTCCACTGATGCTGTGTTTGATATTGCATGTGTGCTGTCCTTAATCTCTTTTGTATTTACCAATGTTCTCAGGGTTGGGGGCTGGGGGCTTTTTTGTATTGTTTCCTCTTTTCATTTTTTTTGTTTCTTCCATACAGGCATATAAAGCAGACCCCGCCCCCCCCCCCCTTTTTTTTATTCTGATCCTTCTGAAGTGCACTGGCTAGGTGACCCTGCCTATTCCAGTGTGCTATTGAGGTGCAAATAGAGACTGCATGCTGGCCCCTCACCTCCAGGTCAGCCAGCCTGGCCAAGGCCTTCACCGAACCTTAGTGTGCACAGTGCATAGGGAATTGGTCTGGGACACCCTACTGGTTCCCAGCCAGGGGTGTGACTCAGGCCAAGGACATCTTACCAATCCCGTCTGAGAAGGGAAAACTGACTGAAGTCTCTGCAGTACCTTGTGTCTGCCAGTCCTGCCCGGTTCCAAGATGTCATTCTCTTTCCTGTGGAAAGGTTTTATTCCTGACACTCACCTCAAGTCAATGTAGGTCCCCTACCAACTCCACTTTCTGTTGGTCTCACAGATCCTCGATCTCAGTATGCCCGCAACCCAGTGCAACTGTGGCTCTGGCAAGTCAAAGCGATGAGTTCACTGAGTCGCAGCTACGCGAGTTCAGATATGCCAGCCAGTACAGTTCTCTGATTTGCTGCTCTCTTTTGCCCTTACATCTCCTCACTAAGGCCTTCAGGCTTGCCCACCACCAGCTTCACTGTGCCCATGCATCTCCGGGTTCCAACAGTGTTTCTAGCACAGTGGGACCTGCTCTGGTGAGAGCACTGCCAGCTACCACCATCTTCTGTTCAAGTTTTTCTTTTTTAAAATCTTGACGTATTTCTTAAGCAGTTTAAGTGTATGTATGTGGAGTCTTGCCTCAAATTAGCTGTAAATTTTTTTCTTTTTTTGTGGTACTAGGAATTGAACTCAAGACCTTCTGCTTGCCAGGTAGGCACTGTGCCACATCCCTGGCCCCTAAATTTTCTAATGTATAGAAAAAGAATACTCCCCCTTCTAAGACAAAATAAAAACCCCCCAAAACACAAAAAAATCCCAGAAACAGGAGGTTTTTTTCTTGTTTGTTTGTTTTGAGAACCAGTTTGAATTAATGGGAAACTGGGACGTAAATTACTTGGACTCAAAAATACTTTATTCAGATAGTTTTCCTCACTGATAGAAAATCTAGGGACATAGTGTTTTTGTCCAGAGAATTAGACAAAGAAGCTAGTTTTTTTATTAATCTGATAGAAGTGACGATTTTAAATAAAAACTTCCTGACTATTTTCTTTTCTAACACAAAGAATTCTTTCTGTGTTTTCTTACTGTTCTGTGGAAAGTGGTACGGATTCTTTTATTGCCAGGCCATCTTTAGTAATCTGCAGCACAAGCCTGAAGGGCACAGAGTATATTTTAGAACTGCTAGGAATTCTAAAATACAGATATTTCCTAAGTTTAAACTACTGTAAATCATTTCAGGGATAATTTAAACTCAATGTAGTTTTGAAAAATGTTCCCAGGTAGAACTCTAATCGTTCTTTTCACACACTCAAGGTAATTCTTAAAATTTTTAAATCTCTCTCTCTCTCTTTCATACACACACACACACACACACAGCTGATACACAACTTGCTTGGTACTGATATGTTTTCCTGAAAATAATATAAATTCATGCATTTATGATAGTTTCTACACCTAAAACACTATATTAAATTTTATATCTTGTATTGAGGCTAGAACAACAAATATCACAGGCTCCTCTGAGATGCTTTCCTCACTGTCATTAATCCCAAGAACACTGTTCATGCTTTGGTATATCATAGCTTGATATTCAAGGCCCCTTCATTTCCAAGTAATACATGTGCTAGTTGTGCAACTGGCAAATGAGATACTGTCTGGAACCTCAAATCTTCTATAATCCCCAATCTACTCCACTTTCAGGCACAAAGTTAGCAAAACTATTTCTGATAATATAATTTGTATAGGCAGATCCCCACATTCTAGGTGATTAAAGGTGAATGAACTGAAATGGTAGTCTTTTTATTTAATCATTGATGGAAAAAATGTAAAAGAACCGTTATTTTGTAGTAGCTGAAATTTAAGAGTTTCAACATAAATCCCTAGAAGCTAACATCAGAATACAGACTCATATGACAATTAAATGAAATGCCTGATCATGGACCAGGAAAAAAAAAAGTAACTGTAATCATCAATAAAATATGAATGGACTCTGGGTTAGATGAAACTTTTATATCAGTCCAATTTCCTAGTTTTTATATTACTGTACTATAGTTACATAATGTTTTGCTTTTAGAAAATGTGTATTGATGTTTAAAGATAAAGGAGCTAAATGACTAAGGGGCTAAATCTAAATGACTCAGAAATTATAATCATATATAAGAAAGAGAGAGAGAGACAAAGAATGATAAAAATAATGACCAAATTAATAACCACTGATTAACATGAGTAATGTACATATAGGAATTATTTGACTAGGATAAATTTTCTATACATTTAGAATTATTCAAAATAAAAAGACAGAAAAAATAAGAAAATAAAGACTCCTATTCAGGCACACAGCAAAATTGTCCACTTGGTCTGGATATTAATAAAAGCTGAGGGGATTGATGAAAGGCAATTAGAGGTCCCAGCTAGAAAGAGATTAATAAGGAAAATAGAGAAAGTAGTTTAAAAACATGTATAATCAGGGATGGACCTAATCAAATCTTCTTAGGGCTTTCAGATTTTGAAACTTATTACATACATTAATGCCACTGTTCTTATGGTATTGGGCCAATGGTCTCAACAGAATGACAAACAAAAGGAACAATCATTTATACCTTGACACAAAGGCAAATTTCTCTGACAACCAAACATGGAAGGGTTGAAATTAAGAGACTGGTTTTTATTCTTACCGAAAAGAAGTGTTTTTTTCCTTTTGTTTGGGTAGAATTATTTGTGGGGCAGTTTGTCCTGCAGCAAAAGCAAAGGTGCTGAAAATGGACTGAGGATAACGGAACTTCATTAGCTGCTTCTTAAAGATCTCTACTGCTTCAGGACTGACTTCTTCATCAAATGCTACTTTAATCAACTAGAAACAAAAGAGATTAATTACATCAGAAGCATTAAGAGTTTCCAGATAACTCTCCCACAAATTATTAAAAACAAAAAACCCAGGGAAAATTACAATCTAAAAGGAAAGATTTTGAAGAATGTAGGGACTTTGTATAACATGCAATACAATCTTAAAAAGTTTTAAAAGTGAAAAAGTGAGGCTCAAAAAGGTTTACTTGCCATAGATGGTTGTTGGCAAGAAACAATCACAGTGTGTTGAGCTTCTTTTCTGTGATGACTATTTTTGCTATGATAGGATAGAGAATTAATTTGTAGTAGCTGATGTGGCAAGCATGCTCTTTCCATTTCTCAATTGTTGGCCGTAGATCAGAAATTGGGACTAATAAGGTCACTTCTTAGCCAGAGACACAACAATTCTAGGAAAAAAAAACCTATCAGGTGGACTATAATCCTAACCAATAGACACAGAAAATATTTAAATGTGGGGTTCTTTGGCATCTAGATTAATGAAGAAAGTCTGGAGTCTAAAGAGCACTAACCTCACATTTCATAAAATTAGCACACGAATACTAAGGAAGGCTCCTTGAGTAGAAAGAATGGGACAAGAATTGGAATTCTTGGAACTCTGAGAAGTTAGAGACAAGAAAAGCAACATATTATAGACTGTGAACTAAGAATAGGATGCTTCTTTTAGAGTCTGGTTGGCATCAGTAACTTTACGAGTTGTGATAAGTTCAGTGATCCCTGAAAAAAACTCTCAATTTATCAAGGGCTATTCAATTAGTACTAAAGGACATTAGTTCTCGATGTACTTCTTTTCTACAGAAAAGCCATAAGTATTTGTTTCTGAAGCAGATGTGAAAAGAGATGCTTTTTATCTAAAAGGTTTTATTACACAGGAACTGAAGTTTAATTTGGCAGAGAGTGAGAGCCACTATGTGTCTGAGTTTCTAAGTATTGATAGACAATCCACTGGTACTCTGAGTTGGCTAAGGAGTTCATGAAGTGAACTTAAATCCAAAACTATTTATGAGTTTACTCAGTTGAAGATTACCCTCCTAGATACTCTGATACTCATTTTCTAACTTCTGACTTCATGACCACAGAAAATAATCACAAAATCATTAGATTTGTGGAAAACTTTTTAATAGTAGGAGAGAGCTTTCCTTTCTCAATGAGTTGATCATATCTGAAATCCAACAAATACTCTGAAATTCAAAACTTCAGTGCTCAAAAGTTTGGATTTTGCAGTGATTTGGATTTTACATTTTTGAATTACAGATGCACAATTGGTTAAGTCTGTGGAAATATTCTAAAATTTGAAAAACGTCTAATCTGAAATACTTCTCGTTTTAAGCATTATAGATAAATGATCCTCAAGCTATACCTGAAAAGATGCTGATGTAATCTGCAATCCTTCTTGCATGTTCTGCTGTAGCTGGTTTTGCATTGTGATCTTCTTCTCTTTGGTGATGGAGGCAACAGGGAAGCTCCGCACAACTGTCTGTTCACCAACTGTAGGAAAACAGGACTCAGTCAGCACTAGCACTTTATAACTCACATCTAGAGTCTCTGATAAAGTAGTACATCTGCAGAGAGAAAATGCCTTGATTCCAGAATCTCCCTCATTAATTTAACTGCATGGCAATTGAATCCTAAGATAGAATTCTTTCCCAGAATCAAAGAAAAAATATCTACTACCTGCAGTTATGAAGATAAGCCTAGAAAAAAGTAGCACACACACACAACCTTTCTTGTTCCTCATAGGCACATAGTAAATACAATAATGTGTGATTAGCTCCTAGGCTTTAGAGAACAGCGTATTCAAGAAATTAAGTATTTCAGAAAAGGAGACAATCTCTATGTGCTAGATGAATAAAGAATGATTCACTTAAGGCCTTCTAGTAAACCAGAGAGGTTAAAATTTATCTTATGTATTTATTCATTTATTATCATCAGAACTCCTCATTTGCTGGATATGTCTATCCTTAAACTGACTAATTTTCCTATATAAAGCTTATATTCAGAGGTGAAGCAGTCAGGATTGTAGAAGATTTAAATTCTAGGATGCTTATATAACATGTGTAGGACCATCAGATTTCTATGTATTGAAGGACAGATTTTAAATTAAAAATTTAAAAAGAAAAAGATTTTTCTATGACAAAAATACCTTTTCTAAAATATGAAGCTAACTCAAACTGTGAAACGAAAAAATAAGAGAATAATGAGAATTCATACTAAGCCTGGCTTTGTTTTCTTTAAAAGAAATAAATTATAACAATTTAAAATGACCACACAATCATCTCATGTTTATATGTCCCAAATGTGTATTTCTTGTCATAACAAAAGTCTATGACAAAAAAGTATGTAACCCTAATTTGAAAATCTGAAATTCAAGTTGGTGTTCTAAAGGTTTTGGATTTTGGATCATTGTGGATTTGGAGTTTTAGATTAAAAGATGTGTTACAGATTAAAAACTGGTGGTCAACTTAACACCAGTGGAATTAAATCACCATGGTGCTGAGCGTAGATGTTTCATCTGAGCCAAGTTGCCAGAATAAATAGAGATGAGGAGAAGGAGAAGGAAGGCTCTGAGGTGTTTGAGGCATTGTGGGTTCTTCTACATGTTGTCGTTTGGGCCGCTGGTTCTCCTGGAGAAGCTCTGGTCTTCACATCAAGGATTGCTTCCTGGCTCTGGAGGGGAAGATGTGTGCCGCTTAATCTCCAAGATGAACTCCTCACGCTGGCTTCCTGACATGTACTCGATGGTACTTATCATCAGAAGAGCTCAGGACATCATGTCACTGAGGATGGCTGTAGTGCTTTTCAGGACAGCCCTGGTCTTTGTTTTGAGTGTGACTTCTTGCCTCTAGCGCAGAACCCTCAACGTACTAGCACAGCTCCTTCACCACATTGGCATAGACTTTCTAGCTTCCACCGCTAACCTTTTGGCTTTCCCAGCACAGATCCATAAAAGAGAGTGGCGTGAGTCCTTCTGGTAGGCTCTAGACCTCCAGGTGGACTTGAACACTGTCATGAGCTCTGGGTCTTCATCTGGACTCATGTAGGACATTGCTGTGGGATGTAGGCCCTTGGTTGAATATTCTATGTCTTTGGTGTTGTGGGTAGGTTTCCTGAAGTTTCCATGTCCTGATTTTAATTGTTCTCCTTACAACCCCTGATGCTTAAATAATAAAGCATATGCAAATCTTCCAAAATGCAAAAATTCCAAAATCTGAAACACTTTTGGTTATAAACATTTTGGATAAGGGAAACACAATCTGCATTTAATTTCTTTTAAAATTTGCTTTTAAATACAAATGTAATTTATGTACAGCAATACACCAAGTAGGCTGAAAAATTTTACTCCATTTTTCATTTTTCAAAAATGAGCACAACTATTCCTATGAATTTATTTTTAATGAATTTTAAGTTTTTGCTTACTCTATGGTAAGCAATTTTTTACAACCAATATACTAAAACCATCTTAAATTTATCCAATTTAATAATAATATAACTGTTAAGATTTAAGGACAAAGGGAAAGTTTCAGATAAGTGAATGAACGTATCTCATAATATTGCTGGATAAATCAAATAATACATGTTATTATATTGGTTGAATTGTATCCTTCCAAATTCATATGTCAACACATTAACCCCGAAGTTCTTTGGAAAGAAGTGATCAAGGTAAGATTTTAAAATTCGTAAATTTTTTATATCTGAATTCTATTGTCTAACAAAATAAATATAGCATGTACTTATCAAATACTATTGAATTAATAATTTTAGAGGAAGAGGAACTTTAATGATCATTAGTTGAATAGTTCTCAATCCTCAGGATTCACTGAATCACTTATGAGCCTCAAGAAACATACAAAGGCGAAGCCAATTTGCTCTTCCTGTGAGTCAGCACAAGGCATGCAGGATCTGGAAGGAGAAACAAGCCAATTTGCTCTTCCTGTGAGTCAGGAGAAGACATGCTAGGCATGGAAGGTGTAACAAGAAGTAGATTCACCCTTTCTGTGAGCCAGCTGGTGTGAGGGGTGGGAGACACTAACATCTCCCTGCTTAAGCAACCAGCTGATTCGGAGGACAGCCTGAGTTGACAGCAACTGAGGGACCAAAACAACTTAATGCTTGTATTGTTTGATTGACTTTGTAGGCAGAAGGCCAGTAATCTGAACTTCTATTAACAGGATAACAAAATGCAATCTAGCAAATATGGGGGATTTTCTTCTGTCTTGTTTTTGAAATTCAACACTGCTCTTACTGGTTTGTTTTGTTATATTTTACTGCTTTCTTTTATTCAATGGTCTGTTTTATTTATTTTGTTCTGTTTTGTTTTATTTTATTATGTCTGATGGTATGAGCAGCAATTTTGAAGATAACATGAGGCAGTATGGTAGCCATTGTTGATTTTCTATTATCCTGTTTTGAAATCCTCTGTCACTTTCACTGTTTTGATTGGTTTTATTCTCTTTAAAATATTCTTTTGTTTTGATAGGTTTTATTCTGTTTTGTTTTGTTTGATTGTATTATGCCTGATGGTACGGGCAACTATTTTGAAGAAAACAACAGACAACATGGTAGCCATTATTGATTTCCTATTATCTTGAAGTTCTGTATCACTGTCATTATTCTGTTTTGATTAGCTTTATTCTGTTTTATTCTTTTTAAAATTAAAAGAAAAAGAAATATCAGATGCCCTGGGCTCCCTATTCTTCCTGCTTAATATTCTAATTCAATTGTTTGAGGGCTGGGCTTAGAAATTAGCATTTTTAAAAAGTTTCCCAGATAATTCAAATATGCAGCTAAGGCTGAGAACCACTGAATTATCACCAATAAAAGCCCATTTTTCTAATTTTATAAAGAGGAAAATGAACTGTAGAGAAATTATGCGACTTGTGCTGTCATGACACTAGCAATCTAAATAGGAACTTTTTTTGACTTTGAGTTCAATGGTTTTGCCCCAGATTTTATGTATTTTTCCAACTAACAAAATATTTTATAGAGAGATTAATTTAAAGAAGATAATGCAGATTACTTCTGGACACAGCATGCTGTTCTTTCCTAATATAGAAGGCTATATAGAGTAGTAGACAACAAAAACGGAAGTTATAAATTTATTGAAAGACAAGTTGTCTGCTAAGAAGGAAGCAGGATTAGCTAAAATGGGGTAAGAGGTTAACTAGTTTATTAGTGCTGTATAATCGTGTGATACTTAGCCTATCCTTTCAGAAAATCATGTGTCTGTAAGACTTTAGCTTTATAGTTAACCGTAGGACTCAGAAAGCTGGGGTAAATCAAGAGATTATGGAGCTAGATACTGTGATATTACCTAATGCAATTATGATTGTTTCAGTCAATAAAGCCTTGATTGGGGCTGGGGATTTAGCTCAGCGGCATAAGCGCCTGCCCTGCAAGCAGGCAGTCGTGAGTTCGACCCCTGGTACCGATAAAAACGAAAAAGACAAAAAAACAAAAAACAAACAAACCAAAAAATAAAGCCTTGATTATTGATTAGAATACAGCTTTTGTTTTTCAAATAAAAATCTATGACATTGGGGCTGGGGATTTAGCTCAGTGGCATAAGTACCTGCCTTGCAAGCAGGCGGTCGTGAGATGGATCCCTGGTACCAATAAAAAAGAAAAAGACAAAAAAAAAAAAAAAAAAAGAAAAAAAAGAAAAAAAAAATCTATGACATAAATTGTCACTAGTAAAGGTATCTTCTATTCTCCCAAATACTTGTATGGCCAAAGCTTATTCTGGACTTGAAATCACTTGCAATCACTGCATAGACTGAACAAAAACTTCATGTGCTACACAGATGTTCATGTTCATGCTATATTATCCTACCTAGCTGGTCATGAGGTGTCCCTCTGAAGAGAATTCTGTATGTGGTGAGGAACAAAGCTCCTTCTGCTGGAAGGAGCTGAGGGCCTCCAAGACCTCCAGTGGCTTCTTCTCTGCCATCAGGATCTAGCAGCACTCGAAGACCTTCACATATAATTTCTTCTCCTGGCAGTAGAGCAGGTCTCAGAATCTTGGGCTAACAAAAGAGAAAGTATCTTAAAGACAACCCTTGTAGGGTTTCAAACACTTAGACCAAAGTTATATTTTCATTTATTCCTAAAAACCATAAACTAGACTTCCTAGGTAGGCAAGTGACAAAACAAATTTGGGAAGAGGAACAAATGAAGTTTCCAAATTTGAAAAGTTTTTTGCAGCATTGTTTGTTAACAGTAAAATTATTGTTAAAAAAAACCAAAAAAAACCAGTGAGAAATATGCAAATGTTTGAAATTTCTATTCAGTACATTATTTTCCAACCTTTACAAAAATGTCATAAATCTGTAGTATTAACATACATAGATTCCCAGAATATACTACAAAGTTATAAAGAAAATTACAAACTGGTATGTACACTATGATCCTATTTTTGGAAAAATAAAAAAGCAGTATGAATATGACCAAATTGTTAACGGGGGTATTGTGGATAGTGAGGACTAGAAGGGGGGCTTTTTACTTTGTTCAATGTGTATTTCTTTTATGTTAGAATTTTATACAAAGATCATTATTACATTTGTAAAGCTGAAAAAAATGGACGAGTTTCAAAATGATCTTTCTTGACCAGGTAATAAACATTTATACTTTATACATCTTGAAGTTATGATTAAGTATCCCTTATATGAAGAATCATATCATACCTTCCTTGGAAGAGGTTAGGTCAAGGAAAAAAATACATTTTTCCCAAAGATCTAATATATTGTTTATTAACAATAAAAACCATATAAATCAGCACTATTCTTTTTGCTGTTTCTAGGAAGCTTCTGAATTTTCCTTTGAATTTATTTATTTTTTCTTTTTTACCAGGAATCAAACTCAGGAGCTTGCACCTGCCAAAGGCAGGTGCTTATACCACTGAGCTATATCCCTAGCCCTTGAACTTGTTCTTAATAGCTTTTTTTCATAGCTAAGAGGGTTTTGAACCCTAGTCCATGTATTAGCAGCAAAATAACCATTTGAGAGGCATGTTAAAAAGATTTCTAAGGGCTGATAATGTGACTCAGTGGTACAATACATGCCTTAGAATATATAAGGCCCTGGGTTGGATTACCAGCACCAGAAGTAGGAGAGTGAGGAGAAGAAAAATATAGATTTCTAAGCCAGGCCCCAGGGTATTCTGATTCAGGAGCCTGAGGCAGGGTTCAGGACTCTGAATTTTTTAATAGAGTCCCCAGCTACTTTTATGTATGGGCCAGATTCAAGAATCTAGTGTATTTATAGTAATTGTCTTACTTTTGTTTTGGAAAGTAGCCATAACATAAAATCTTGGGTTGGCCTTGTAAGTTACAATTATTCATAATTTATGCCCTGCCTATAAAAGTAAACTCATCACGAGATTGTTGGTGCTCTTTTGTTGAATCCAAGAAAGTATACTGCTCACATTTCAGTTTCCTTTTTATAAGTTTCTATACAACAAACTCTCTTAGAAGTTTAATGTACTATTAAATTGCATTTGTAAAAGATTAGGAAAAGGTACTTTCTAGAGTATAATAGAACTACCATTGCTATGTTTGAGAAGAGATGCTATACCCTGAAAGCATGTAGTCTAAAACAATTACCTTCTGTATAGGTGGAAGTCTTCTACTCTCACGATGCACTGCCTCTAGAGTCTCAATGTGCATAGCTACAATTCCTAGGATGGGTGAGAGTATCCAAAATAAAAGATTATAAAACAAATTCCAGATATTATAGAATTAAAAGCTAATCTAAATTTGGCTGTTCTTAAAAAACTTAAAATATAACCATATAACCCAGAAATTTCACTCCTACCTATATACAACAAAGAACTGAAAACAAGTACTCAGATATTTATATGTGAATATTCAGAGTAACATTATTAACAATACCCAAAAGGTGGAAACAGCACAAGGGTCCATCAACACATAAATGGATAAACAACTTAAATTCTGATACAAGGATGAATCTTGACAACATTATGTTAAATGAAATAAATCAAACATAAAAGTTGAAATATTTATGATTCTACTTATATACCTACAACAGGCAAATTCATAGAGATAGAAAGTAGATTATATGTCTCTAGGGGCTTGGGAGTAATGAAACAGGAGTTATTACCTAATGGTTACAGAATATCTATTTAGGGTAATGAAAAAGTTTAGGAAATAGTGGTGATGCTTGTACAATATTGTGAATATAATTAATGCCACTGAATTGTATACTTAAAAATGGTTAAAACAGCTAGGTGTGGTGGCGAATGCTGGTAATTTCAGATAACTAGAGGTTAAATCAGGAGAACTGTAAATTCAAGGCCATCCTGCGCAAATTAGTGAGATCCTATCTCAAAAACAATACAAAACACCAAAAAAGACTGGGGAGGTAGCTCCATGGTAGCATGTCCCTGGGTTCAATCCCCAGATGGCTAATTTTGTGTTATATATGGTATGTTACCACAATTTAAAAATATTTAAAATAACAAATCAGAAAATAAATAGCATGACTAAACTACATGGCAATTACCATGGCATGGTAATACAGGTATTACAGGTCTTATGCTGGGAAACTCAATTTTTATTAATATTCTGATTCTCTAATATTTACAAAGTGATTACCTGGTATCATACAATGAAGGCTCTTGATGTGATCTTGAGTAACACTACTTTCTGTACAAACCTTGTCAATAAATCGGGTAATGAACCTCACAACAGAATTGGCAATGTCATTATTCTCTGAATCTTCAAACCCACTCTCTGTATCATAGCTCTCAGCTACACTTCCTGCGATACTAAGAAAGTCAAAGAAAGGAATTACAGTCAGCATTCAAATGGAACCAATGACTACTGTATCATAACAGAACTGAAATTTGCTTAAACAGATGTACACTTAAGTAGGTGGGACATATTTAACTACAAGACTCTTTTATAAATAACAGTGATGAAACATATTCTATGTTTGTAAACTACTGTCAGATCCTTTAAAGAAGACCTCTGTCATTCTCACAAAAGTACTCAGCAACTGCAGAAAATAAAAAGGACTCTTACTTAGTATCTACTACCTGAACCTTCAAAAATAATTTATCTCTCCAAGGAATTACTGCACAGATCAGACAAAGTGAATGTCTATCTCTGGCAACTGAAGAACATTAACTGTGGTAGGAAGAGTAAGATAAATTTTTTTAGTGACTTGCATATTCTTCTATATGGAAGGGCCAAACTACCCTATGATACTTTTTCTTGCCACTATGTCTCTCTGAATCACAACCCTTTGGGCCACAATGATTCCATAATTTTTCCGTAGGTGATAAAATTATGCAAGAGAGAAAAATACATTTGAAATGAGGCATATGTGAAAGCTTAATCTCTACTTGTGTTTCTTTTTTTTTTTTTAAGGTACCAGGATCAAACTCATGACCTCATGCTTGCCAAGCAGGAGCTTATGTCCCTGAGTTACTTGTGCTTCTTATTTCAGCTCCCACTATTCAACAAATTGGTTGCTTACAACAGCAAAGAATCATTTGTCTGTTCTAACCTACTCCTCTTTCTTCCATAGCCAATCATTTACCTCAGTGAGTACTAACATATAATTAAGCAGAGTATATGGCTATCGCATCCTAAGCCATTAAAGAACTTAGATGCCTTAGTCACTTACTACACAGACTTTAGGAGAGGATGATAATCTATACTGACAACTTTAAATGAAACAAAAATATGGTTATTTACAGTTATAATGGTGATTAGCCTGATTAGCAGTGGGAGACAAAGATGATAACAGATTAAGAAAGTTCTTAAAAATTAAGTAGATGAGTCCAGAATTGACAAAACAGTCTTGTGGGACTAAGGGTAGTAAAAGAATGTGAAAGCATCATTTTTGGAAGATTCTTTTGGCAGTCAGAAGATAACTACAGAAAGAAAGGAGCCAAAAAAAAAAAAAAGCCATTAAGAGATGATTGTAATACTTATGGCTTTAACTAATAAGAGTTTAAGCAATGTTGGTCACATAAAATAACTAAAAGATGAAAAAGAAACCATGCAGGAAGAAAGAAGAGCTTTATAAAGATGAAAGAAGTTATTTTGTATATGTGCAAATGGCTGACTCCAAGTTATCTAGCATGGAAGACTAGAAGCTCTGAGCTGTTCTTGAAAAAAATACAAGTCTAAAACAGGAGGATTAAAAGGTTCAGGCCAATGATTTAGCCCTAAGCTAAATGAGCTTTCTGATAAAAAGTATGATGACCTTTGGCAGAGGACAGAGAAAAGGAGCGCTTAAAAGAGTCTGAAAAGAATTCATAAGAGCTAGAAGATTATCAGAATGTTATAGAATTCACCAATAAAAACCCAAAAGAGAGACCCAGCTTTCTGAACCCTAGAGGTGGCACCAGAGGTTCCACTGGCCTGCTTGGAGCATGCCTAGCGACCTTATTTCAATCTGGGGAGCTGAGGCTGCGTGAATTCCAGGAGCCAAGGACGCATGAGGTGATTTCCAACACACCTGGGAGAAGCTTTGGAACACTGCTCAAAACTCAGAAATACAGAAAAATGACAAGACAAAAAAAGAAAATGCAATCTCAAACCTCTAGCCAACCCCAACAGAATCTAGAAGCCATGTACATAGAAGAAAATATAAGCCATACACATGAAATGCCTGAAATGATATAAACTGAAATAAAGAAACAACTCTGGGAAGCTATAAAAGAACTCAAATCAGAAATAATGTCCCATGTAAAAGAAGAAACAATAAAGGTAATTAAAGAGCTGCTGAACAATCTAAAGAAGACACAGATAAAAAATTAGAGGAACAATGCAAAAAGATGGAAACCCTGATTGAACAATATAAGAAACAAACAGAATGCATAAAGCAGATTCAAAGAGATATAGAGGAAATAAAAATTCCATTGAAAGGTGGCAAAACTACCTCAAAGAAAGTAAAGATAGAATTTCAGACCTCAAAGACATGACTGAAGCTAGTGCACAGGAAAGGAAAGATCTTTGACAAAAAACAAGGAATCAGGAAATAATTCAGCAGTTGCAAGACGATGCAAAGAAAAACAACATAAGATTGACAGAGATAAATGAAAAAGAAGGGGACAACTTAAATGATATCAAGAGGCTATTTACAGAAGTAATAGTTGAAAATTACCCAAACCTGAGAATAGAAACTGACATATGGATCAGTGAAGCATATGGAACTCAAATTCACCACAACCAAAATAAAACTGTACTCAGACACATAATAATCACCATCCCAGAAATCCAACATAAGAATAGAATATTAAAAGTTGTCAGAGAGAAAAGACAGATCACCTATAAAGGAAAACCTATCAGAATTACAGCAGATTTCTCAACACAAACAATGAAGTCAAGAAAAGCATGGAATGAAGTATTTCAGATCCTAAAGGAAAATGACTTTCAACCCACACTGATGTACCCTAAAAAACTGTCCTTCAAAATGATGGAGAAATAATACTTACATGATAAAGAACAGCTGAAGAACTTCATGATCACCAAACCAACCCTGCAAAGAATACTGAAAGACATTCTAGATACACATAGGAAAAAAAATCACTAAGCAAGGCAGACAATTAAATAGTGTGGAAAGGTAAAGATGAAACAGCAGAAAAGTAACATGTCAAAAACAAACCAATATATAACAGTTATAAACATTAATGTAAATGGCCTAAATTCACCAATTAAAAGAAACAGACTGGCATAATGGATTAAGAAATAATATCCAACCATATGCTGTCTACAAGAAATAAATCTAACCCAAAAAGAAACTCAGAGACCAAAAGTCAAACAATGGAAAATAATGTTCATGCAAAGGAACCCCCCAAAAAGTAGGGGTAGCTATTCTCTTTGCAGACAATGTGAACTTCAAACCAAGAATGGTCTGAAAAGAGAAAGTAGGTAACTACATACTAGTTAGGGGAAAACTTCAAGAGGAAGAGATAACAATCTTAAACATATATGCACCCAATTTGGGAGCACCCAACTATACAAAGCAAGTATTAAGAGAAACAAAAAATCATATAAACGATTATAAGAGGAGACCTTAACACGCCATTGACACAAAGGGACAGATCAACCAGACAGAAAATCAGCAAAGAAATAACAGAACTGAATCACACCTGTGAACAAAAGGACTTGATAGATGTATAGTGTTCTACCAACAACATCAGAATGTATATTCTTCTCAGCAGTACATGGGACATTCTCTAAAATAGACGATATAATAGCCCACAGAACATACTTAAGTAAATGCAAAATTATCCCATGCATGTTATCAGATCATAGCGCCATAAAACTATAAATTAATGACACAAGGAACTGCAAAAACCCCACAAACACATGGAAATTGAAAAATACACTCCTGAGAAATCAGTGGGCCACAGAGGAAATTCAAGAATAAATTAAATGATATCTACAAGCAAATGAAGGCACAAATACAACTTACTGGAATCTGGAGGACACAATGAAAGCAATCCTCAGAGGCAAGTTTATTGCAGTGAAATCCCACATTAGAAAAAGAGAACGAACACAAACAACCTGATGCTACAACTCAAACATCTAGAAAAAGAAGAGTAAGTCAAGCCCAAAGTCAAAAGAAGGGAGGAAATTATAATGATCAGAGCAGAAATCAATACAACAGAAACTAAGAAAACAATAAACAGAATCAATGAATCAAACAGTTGATTCTTTGAAAGAATAAATAAAATTGGTAAGCCTCTAGTCAACCTTATTAAAAAGGGAAAGAAAAAAACTCAAATTCATGCAATAAAGAATGAAAAGGGTGAGATCAGTACAGACCCTGTGGAAATACAGAAGATCATCAATACCTATTTCGAAAGCCTCTACTCTTATAGGTTTGATAACACACAAGAAATGGACAGATTCCTAGAAACATATTAAGTACCAAAGCTGGGTCAAGAAGATGTAAAAATGCTGAATAACCCAATTTTAATTAATGAAATGGAGAATGTAATTAAGTCCTTACCAACAAAGAAGAGCGCAGGCCCAGACCGATTCACTGAGGAATTCTTCAAGGAATTCAAAGAAGACTTAATGTGAACACTCCTCAAACTTCAGTGAAATTGAAAGGGAAGCAATTCTTTCTACATCATTCCTTGAAGCAAATATTACTCGTAATACCAAAACCTGAGAAAGACTCAACTAAAAAAGAGAACTACGGGCCAATCTTCCTAATGAACATAGATGCAAAAATTCTCAATAAAATTTTGGAAAACAGGATGCAGAAAATCATCAATAAGATTATACACCATGACTAAGTGGGATTCATCCCAGGAAGTCAGGGATGGTTCAACATACGTAAATCAATACATGTCATCCACCATATTAATAAAGCCAAAAATAAGAATCACATGATCATTTCTATAGACGCAGAAAAAGCTTTTGATAAGGTTCAACATTCATTCATGATAAGAACGATACAGAGAATTGGATGGTCTTTTTTGTAATTTTTTTTTTGTCTTTTTCCTTTTTATCGAACTCACGACTGCCTGCTTGCAAGGCAGGTGCTTATGCCACTGAGCTAAATCCCCAGCCCAGGAATAGATGGTCTTGACTTCAATATGATAAAGGTCATCTATAACAAATCAACAGCCAGCATCACGTTAAATGGCCAAAAACTGAATGCCTTTACCTTAAAATCAGGCACAAGACAAGGATGTTCATTATCACTGCTCCTATGCAACACAGTACTGGAAATACTAGCTATGGCAATTAGACAAGAGAGAAAAGTAAAAGGAGTAAGATAGGAAAAGAGGAAGTT